ATCTCCTTCGTATCCCTCTGCCAGGCCACCTCTCTGTTTCCGCCACTCTGAGTTGAGCGTAGGAAACAGCACTCTCCTCGGCAAACGTTGGTTTTTTCATAGGCAACATATGTTCCAACCAACGCGGCTTCTGGTGCTGGACACATACTTCAATGGGAGTATCTGCTGCACAACCAAAAACTAGCCTTCTAATTGCCCCGTTATGGATTAACCGACACAAACTACTACTAACCACGGTCCTGATAAAGCGATCGTCGAACACCTGAAGACGTCTCAGTTCCGCTGCTCGAACAGGCCAAGTCTCACAGCCATACAACAAAACAGCCTGCACTGTAGCTTGATACACACGTCCCTTGGGATTCAGAGATACACTACTCTCAGGCCATAGGTGTCTCAAATTAGCAAACGCGACCCGAGCCTTGCAGTTTCGTGCATTGACCTCATTTGTCACACTACGATCAGCACTAATACAAACCAAGATACGTAAAGCGCTCCACAACTTCGAGTGCCTCCCCCTAGATTGTAAGTGGTGTTTTTAGTGACTGCATGTCCACGAGCATTACCTTGTGGGTTCAAAGTGCTTATCGAAGGACTTTGGTCAGTTCATCCAAAAACACTTGAGTCTTCTGCCCTTCAAAGGCGAGAACGATATCGTCTGCATATTCCAGATCGACAAGTTTTTCGTCACAGGCTATTTGAACACCGGGGTTTTGGAGACCATGCAGCGTTCGTATAATTATTCCATCAATCCCGCAGGCAACACTTTATAAATAAACGGGTAGCCTCTGAACGTCCACTATTTCAACAGTCAGCTTTTCAAATCTACCCAGTGCTGTGGCGCGAATGGATGTGTTATACACACTTTTTGGAGGTAAGTTGTTGTCGCGTTCGCACCACAGATGACGGTGGTTCGTGGAAGTTGCGCGAGCCTTGATGATTCGGTGAGACATCCCAACATTTAAATCGATGGTCCTGAGGTCACTCCCTAAACAAACAAATTACCGCACGAGATTGATAGTATCATCATCAAGATTGAGAACAAGTGGAAGTTCAAATGTTGTGTCAAAAAGTAGGAACATATCGTTCGCAAGTATCGGATCCCTGAGTGGTTCACCTGGGAACGCCGATGTTCATCTTCTGCTTGCAACTGTTGCCTAAGAAAAATGTCAATTAGAATGGGGCATTTCACGCCTTTCGGCAGTCCCGCTTGAAATTTTGGGGCGCAAATAAAGCTCGTGGTTAGTCGATCTTTGCGTGCCCATTTGTTAGACAACCACATAGTAAAGCGTGGTCAACAAAGCCAAACGCATTTGAAAGAAACAGCTGTCAAAGGTCTGTATTCTATAGTACTGGCGTAGCACTGGATTCTAGCCTAAGGCAAGCAACTAATCAACACAGCCACGGTCAGCGCAAAAAGCAGCGTGTTCGTCGCGGTGCCAGTCACGAGGAGCAATAAGCCGTCAGACGACGGCATTAGCATGAACTTTGGAGGCAAAAATAGCAAAATGATTTTCTCGACAGTCACATAGTACGTGAATCTTTCTGTTTGATCGCAATAATGGTAGTGTTGTCACGGTCCTTTCAAATATTTTTTCAGCAATAAGGTCAAATAATCAAGTAGTCGCAGTAACTGACCCTTGAACAAAGTACGCTATGCATCGTCTGGGACCGAGGCATCATGTCACTTCAGACGTTCAGTTCCTCTGCACAATTCGGATGCAAAGAGAGAAACCACATTCATTGGCCATGGTGACGCTGTTTTGGAAAAGCCTCGACAAAATGGAGCAGTTTATGTGAGTCAAACTGACCAGCTCAGTGCTTGATCCAAGCTTCTTATCAATTCAGCGTTTTCCGTATGGGTCGTCCAACTAGTGTTTCAAACTATTCGACTTCGCCAGTTATACAGGTTTACCGGTGCTCTCAGAGATACCTGTGTCTTCCATATTGGATGCATCGTGTGTCAAGTTTCTCAGTCTTGGTTCAGGATGACAACAAATTCTAGTTTGCTTTGTCCATGAGCTTGGTGTTAACCATGGTCCGTCGACCATCGAGCAGTTCCAATAAAGATCAGATATTCCAGGATGGGATGTGAATCTACCTACTGAAGTACCTGCGGGTTGTGGAGAATTTTGAATGTTTGGCCAACGGTTCGGCACAGAGTTGGAAGCTCCTTCTTTTTGTGTGGACAAAACCAAGTTACTGTATCCAGTGTGGCATTTGCAGTGTCCACTAAAAGAGACAGAAAACTAGACACATCGGGCTTGGTCGGAGTCTAGTTGATCACCAAAGGCATCAGTATCGCGTAGGAGATAGAAGGAACTATGTGACATAACGGCGAAAGTTTGAGCTCGGGAGGAACAATCGATTGTATAGATAACAAGTGAAGTATACGCTTTCCGTTTTCAATAAGACGGCTGACTTTCCAGGTTGCCCTCAATCGCGTCTCACCTACCGACCTGGATGTCCATAACTCAGATGTCTACTTTGTGAACACTGTGGAGAAATCCATTAGGCTGTTGACAGAATTCGTCTCCCAGGCGCACAAGATAGCCATCGTTCAGCAGTGACAGGCAAGCATCTGAATTCCATGTGTTAGAACTGGATGCAACTCTGAATCGTGTGGCGCAAGTGAATGGATCAAATGCTGTTTCGTCTGCAAAAACCGATTAAGTAGCCGGCGGTGCTGTGACTTGACATAATGTCCACATTCCTTTAGTGCGCTACTTGTGCGTCCACGCACATTCTTTGTTCGATACAAATCGCTGAAAGTTTGTGTACCTAAGTTAGGCGAATCGGTTTTCCAGATGTCTGCTAACCTAGTTTGCCGTCTTTTCTTATATTTTTCACCCTGAGTATCGATGTGGAAGTTTCTTGCAACAATTCGTGGTCACTCACGAAATTTATTTAATCGTTTTTGGGAAAGTGTGGCAAAAGATTATTTGGATCATTTGACTCTTTCGGCACATGGAACAAAAAGGTGCTGTCATGTTGCCGGCGTCTACTGACAGAACCAAGAATAGCTGGATTCAAGCGGTGAGGCATCACGACCAGGGTGAAAGTCCCCGAATTCTCCCATTTGTATAAGAATTTGGATTTCACCGGAGACCCGAATGAACCCAGCCGACGGGTTTTCAGCAACCTTACGAGTAGTATGCTACTCGTAAACAGCAACGCATTGCGATATCTCAAATATTGTAACAAGTGAAACATGGAGTGCCCTGGTGCCGCATACTCAGTTGAACAAGACTATTACAAAAGAGATTCGGCTGGACTCCTATCAAGACCAAATTCGTATTCAAACGAGAGTATTTGTCGAATTTCTTGCAATTTGGGTTCAACTAGATCGCAAGCTTGATGGTAGTTTGGGGGCTGATGAGCCCCAAAAAAGGTGAAACCCGTCGTGTGCTGTCGAAGAGTTTTCGCCAACCTTATGAGTAGCGTATTGGGTCTAGAGTTTAAAATCTGTCTTCAGGGAAATATCGGAATTAGACCAAGAATTCATAGCCACTCGGAAGCTAGTTTATTCACTTACCAAGTTCACTTAGGTAAGTTTTAAAAAGCAACAAGCTCGGAGATCTCAGAGAACAGAACTTGGTCGTCAAAGAAAGTACCATGTTACCCTACTGTGAACTTTACTGGTCGTAAACTCTGCACTATCGTGTCGGATACGATCAGAATAATGTATTAGGGTTAATGCCTTCATATCCTGAGCTCCTCGTGAATTAGGGAACATTTGAAATTCTGGTTGATAAACATAGGATTTCTTGCCTGTGACTGGGGAAGCGATAATAATAATCTTTTCACTATTGAACGGTTCGCGGGGCCTCATTAGCGCTGTCCAGCGTGCGTGCTTATCTTCACTGCCATTCTCAAAACATGCCACTTAAAGCAGGTGCCTATGGAATTTCTGAACATCGATCTGATAAGCACAGAACCCTTGAAAGGTCGCGCGAAAAACAGTAAGTTTCGGGATATGCGACGTGCTGTTATTCATCGCAGACCTCTGATTGATCTACGCCCCAGCACCGACTGCAAGACCACGACTCCTTCCTGTAGCTCATCCACAGTGTCTGCTTCACCTGTAAACAGGTCCTGTTACCATACCCTACGTGCCTTTGAATGGTTTCACGCCTGTCTGTCACGCAAATGCATTGGAAGGTAAACAATGTGATGTTGTAAATCAGACAGCACAGATTGAAGTAACATTCTTTCCAAATTATTCCTCAGGGAACGATGAGAAAGCACGGTTTTCGAGTGACTGGTTGCCGCAGCCAGCCAAGGTTCTCTCCGTGCGATTGAATCAGGTGCCGTTAGTTTGTCACGCAGGTGGTTCTTGAGACCGGAAAAGCCTATGCACTGTAACTTCGGATACTGTGACTCTCCTTTTCGAATAACGTGTCAACTGTAGACCAAGCCACCTGGGACGCCCGGACCATTGATTTCTTCAAACCATGATTTATTTCTGTTCATCTGACCTCGTGTCTCATGTAAGCAGAAGAACTTAACATGGTTCGAAAGAGTAAGAATTCAAAGGTGAGAAATGAGCTTATGGAGTGGTGAGCTGGGTAAAAAGACAATGCTGAAAAGCTGAAAACTTCCAGCCAGGGAGCCAGAAGACGCACCTTCACAAACGATGTGTACAGGACACAATCGCTTTTAAAATGAGCTCTCACCAGTTTCCGGAACTCACAGGAAGTTGGTCCACGACAGAGAAGGCAGCCAATAGCCCGCTTTCCGGATATCGAGAGAACGCATGGCATCTTCAGCTGCTGAGTGCGCTACAGGCCCACGCGGAGAGGATAGTTCACAATTCCAGTTGTTTTATCGCATTTAAAACCAAACATAATTACGAATCTGAACATAGCCGACTCAACAGATATAAAAAGCTAGCCATTTGAAAAGGACGGAGTTTAGGCGCGGTATAATACTTTTAAAGCGTTTTGCTTCCCTTTTATTCCATTCTCGATGACAAACTGATCCGTAGTCGAGAAAAGACAAACTGTACTTATAGTTTTCATATTTTGTTGTTCGAAGCAATGAGCATGCATTTCGTTGGAACACATAGGGATAGAAAACACACCTTAACAGATGAGTGAGCCGCAGAGAGGACGTGATACATGATCTGTCACAGGGAACGCGGAGAGGGGAAGGGGCGGTTATCAGACGACAAATAAAACTAATGAGCAGGTTTGGTTGAGGAGCGTGGTTGCAGAGTAGGGCAGAGGTCTAGAGGAGCAGGTGCAGACAGGCTGAGGGTGAACCGGGCCCCTACTTGCCATCAATCGGTTAACGGAGAATTTCGGTTGAAATATACAGGGTTTATCAAACATCGTAGCGGGTGGATTAACAAACTACTTGCAGCTTGTAGGTGAAGAAGAATAACAGAGCAATGATGACAGGGCTGTTCACAAGTTATAAGAGGTGCGACAATCATACGGGTAGTGTATTCAAAGAAGGCGAGAAAACTAGCGACCATAAACTGGAGTGAGGAGGGCGGCTGCACACCAAACACGGTTGTGCGTAAGTACCATTAGTTACGAAATCAGGTTACAGCCGAATTAGATAACTGTGGCGCCGTGGCCTCAGATTAGTTGGTTTCAAACGGAGTCACACACAGAAGAATAAAACTGATTTGGAAAAGCCGTAAAAAGAGTACAATTACTCAAAGGTCGCACTGTGCGTGAAGTAGACCAGTAACGTTGGCAGTGGGACCGAAGCAGGCTGTTAGGGGAAAGTACTCGTAGCAAAGGGGCAATGAGTAAAGCCGAAGATCAATCGAATTCGAAATAGTCGGCGTGTGGGCCAATGGATCAAAACTGTACTTGGAAAAAGTGAGCAGATCACCCACTCATCAATGAAAGCAGCCCCGACAAGATCCGAGTCGGAAACCAGGACTCTCGGGGCATTTGCTCTAAGGAGGGCCCAGATAAAAAGATTCGTATGAAATAGTTCAGTCACTGTGTTTAAAGAAGCAACATGGGCAGTAGCACTCTAACAGAAGGCTGATAAATGACATCCAGCATACCATGGGCTCGAAAGACAGTGAGGTAACGATTATCGTCGTAGAGGATCCAGGTAGCTCGGTGGCAATATCAGTGAGCATTCTAGCAATTTGGTATAGGTATACTTATACCTGCAATCGTCAGGACTCCTATCACAAAGCGTACACATACACAGGATACGATAGCATGATAGTAGGTCGCGAGAAACGCCAACTAAGTCAACACGCCTTCGTATGTGTGTGTGTGTGTGTGCGTGCGTGCATACACAAGAATGTAAAGTACAAATTGAGTTTTTCCCATTCAAATCCCAAGAGGGTCTTACTGTAGTTTGTGNTTTTCCCATTCAAATCCCAAGAGGCAGGTTCAACAGCAGCTATAGGCAAACATGTGTCGAGAATAGTAGCAGTAGAGAGGGAGGGGCGGATAACAGGCATGAGAGGCTTCGAGAAAGACAGCTGGAGCGCGCTTGGCCGCGGTAGGCTACACAAATGTTAATCAGAGTAATGTGATCGGTCCGAAATTCGACGTATGATGAGCGAAAGGGGCGGCGCAATTCGAGCATAAATCCAAAGGAACACGCGCACGTCAGTCAGCTGATCCACCTTGTGTGCCTCACAGAATGCAATGGGAACTACATGAATAGCGGTTATGGTTACACGTATAGTAGGTTATGAGCGAGGAGGAAATCAAGTTGCACAGGACGGGACGGTCAGACTTCTGGGGCATCTGCATCCGCATACTCAATCGTCGGATGCTGAGCTTGCCTGAGGACCATTGAGCTGATGCTTCGCCGTTGTTCCGGGTCTATTCGAGGTCCTAGTCCCATGCGGAAGGCATCAACCACTTTCATCTAGTAGACAAGGAAAGAGGAACAACAATGGAAAATGAAAGGGCTTGTAACGAGCGGAATAATAGGTAATCTGAAGAGTACACAGATTGGTGCAACCAAATTCATGCCGCCAACAAAAACATTCGCTTGTCCCAAGATACTTGCGAGGACGAAGTGAACAGCACTCAGGTCTTTAATGAAAGGTTAATAAATGTTACCAGCAAATACACCGAGGACACCATTTAGTACTTGGGTTCAAGATATGAACACCGTTATAAATGTTAGTCATTGGTGGAAGGGGACGAAAAGGCAGGTTGCGTGGTGAAACGGGAGCTTGGGGATCGAAATAGGAAGAACGTCCATGCATTCGGACTGCTAACACAAACTGGGGTCATTCGATCCCCTGAGTAAACCAGTTAGTTATTTTTTTTACTAGTAATCCTTGTTCGTCACAAGCCTTTTTCAATGCATCATCGATGTAACCATTGTGTCCGGGCTTAGTGATGAAAACCAGCTGGCTCTGAAGTATCAGAATGTGATCGATCAACAAAATCTTTTTCGCGTAAGGACGTCCTGGTGTTTTTGTCAAGAGACTAGGTGAAACTATCCAGATCGCTTAACAGAAGTCCTAAAGTAAAAAAAATGTTGAGAAGCCCAAAAGCGTTTTATATTCAGCAAGTCGTGTTTAATTTGACAAGGATTCACCTTTACATTTCTATCAACACAATTCGAGATTACTATCAGATCAGCTTAATAATTTTATCACGGTACGTTATGAAAGATGTTGAGAGTGAGAAATGAGCTGGGGGAAGATATCTAGGTAGCTGATGCAAAGTTGATAAGTGGAAGATCCTGACAATATAATGAACAGTGGATGACAGTTATATAGACTGAATAGAATATGATCACCCTTCATCACCTAATCGGATGGCGAGCTTCAAAAAGGGCTGAGAACAGAACAACACATTCGGACTAGCACGGGGACTCGGGATTACAACATCACTGGTAAGACACTAACATGGAATTATTGAACTTCGAGTCAAATAGCTTTGACAACGGTCTCACCAGGCCAAACCCTCCCAGAGTCTGGATGGATAACCTATGCTTCACTCACACATCGCAAAATAATGTAGCCAGAACACACTCAAACCATCCAACAGCGAAACGGTAGGTACTGACACGGGTAATAAGATTCTTGCGATGTAACAACGAATTTCGGAGACTGAAGTCCCACAGAGTGAAAACCATGTGTTTAGTTGGGGAACTGTAATAAATTGCCAAAGAAGAACCCCCTTAACGAGTTCACAAACGACGTTTGGTGTGATCTGAACAAGAAAGGAAGCAAGTAATCGAAACTTAGGTTGCTATTCAAATCGATCATTTGATTCCAATGCTCCCAAACAGTCAGTGAGTTGTTTAGTTGAAATGATTTCAAGAAAGACGTCGAGAGGTAAATATCATAAAGTCTGAGCAACAAACAGTCCGGGGGGGGGGAAGATGATGGCAGACTAATACACCGAATTGGTTGTCAAAGGTGTAAAACGAAGATGACTAATGGTAAAGTTGCGTGTGTAATGGAATGAAAACCATCCAAACAACAAGGGTTGTCTGTCTGGTCATGTGCAGTTTTCAGTTCGTCACCTCAATTAATTGCCATTATCATTCGCCTCATTTAAACTAATTGTATGGAAAACAGCGTTTGAGTCTTAGTACTTGTTGAAAATTCACATATTGTGACCGTGAGGTTCTCTTTGATTTAAGACGAAAGAGATGAAGGAATCTTCCGGAGTCAAATACATGTAAGATGGCGGGAAATATCACCAATGAGGGGAAGTAGTCTGCCGCGGTGACGAAAAATGTACACACACTACTCTTTCATCTCTGTAATGACCGTATGGATGAGATTGGCAAACTAGGGCGGTAAGATAATCTTACGCTGTTCTAATGGGCTCGAGATAGTTCAATGGTTAAGCCGCCAGCTTACAGACCGGAAGGCCCGTGGTTCGAACCTAACCTCAGCATCGCGACTGCTTCTGTCTAGACTTGAACAACCTGGTAGTATCCCAGTCCTCGTGCCTTTTTACGTTGGCATGAAAGCCAGGCATCAAAAAAGCGCTACAGGTTAACTGTTAATATTATTACACTGTTCGGGAAATTACTTCTTCCTGACAGTGAGTACATTCTTAACACGTTTGTTTCTTCTAAATTCGCGTTCAACATGTGAACAGATTGTCAAAGGAGAGGGAGTGACTGACAGTTTATAAGTGTTCATGAGGTCGCACCTATTTGAATGCGCGATCATCTCCAGGAAACCATGTGGATGTGGATTAGACCGCTCCAAAAAAACCAAAAGGAATGAAAATCGAAGCAGTTAGGCCTGCTTATATAAACCCGATGTTCTGGCGATTTCCTACAGTATTCCTTCATTATAATGACCTTGGGAATGCTGAGCTGCTGCCGTGATATGGGTGGACGAGGGGCCAAACATTTTTGAATGCCGTGCAGGTCGATGTGATCGCACTACCGACGGTTGTCACAAGGAGACCACTAGGCTCACTCACGAGAAACCAGTGAAAGGGATTCACTAAGAGCCAGCCTATTCAAATGAGGTTAGTACAGAAGGCTTCAAGATTGTGCCCGCCGTTCCACCATTTACTGCGTGTTGAACTCTGATACAATATTAAACAATGAGGGAATGGAACGACTTCCTCAGGAGGGGCTACCCCATTGAAAGACTATGATAGAGTTTTGTTTCGCTCCAGAGTCAGCTTGAGCCTCGTCTCCACCACCCTTTTAGGAGGCCAACTATCCATTTAATCTGGGTGGCTTCTTGGAACCCGTTAGGAGGGTCGTTCATGAGAACTTCCTACTGATTAGGTACGTTCTGAGGATTAGTCTCTGCAGAAGCGGGTTACTACATTAGGGTGAGTGGTTGGGGTGGTGAAAGTGCATTGAGTTGAGAGCAGCCAGTTAGGAATCGTGACAACTTGACTTTCCGTGTTATGGTGGGGAACACCGAAGACAAGTTTTACTTTCAAAACACGTAAAAAGTGACGTAAAACTGACACACAGAAAGCTCATGTTGCCATGCCTCAGAAAGGATAGGCGTACACGTAGAGACGGGCACACACACACACACACCATACATTCAAGTGCGGAGTAACATCGGACAACGACGGTGAGGACTATGCGTGCACGGCTACGACCTGAGATGGCATATTGTGCCGAGCTGGCACGCAACACTCTACAGTGTTTGTGCGAAAAATTACGAGAACGAACAGACAAACATGCGACACTCATGTAATCTGAAACAAATGACAAGCGGCGAGAAGCTGCCGCGCACGATGCAGGCCAGAGTATCACATAACCGGAACATTTTAGTCCACATTTGGCCATTATCTGTTAATCCCATAGACCATGACGTCACCGGCAACATTTCGCCGGAATGGGGCGAATGTGAAGTAAAGTGAAGTGGACGAGTCGCGAAGGGGATATATGCACAACACAACAAGATTAACATAGCGAGGCGAACGTAGATCTTGACATACTGAAACTCGGGTTTGTCGTGCGAGAGTACTTACAGCTTGCATCTACAAAACCAGGGTGGGATGAGACGCGGGAAGACGAAGAATGAAGCAAAATAACAGTGGCGACGCTACAGAGGTAACGCTTGATCACCGGTGTTCTGGAAAAGACAAGCTGTCCCAAAATATGCGACTTCGTTAGGTTTGTTGCATGCAACGGAGAAACGATAATGTGGTGGCTCAGCGAAAGTGATCATTGTCGACGTACCTGAGTTTGAATACGGTTCACACCGCGGACCCATAGAATCTTCCCACCCAAGGCCATCTCAGTCGGAGCTGGCAAATGACCAATCCTGTCTTCATCAGCTTCCTCTTCCTCTTCTTCCTCCTCTTCGGCTCCTTCAGCAGGCTCTTCTTCAGGCCTTTTCCGCTTACAACAAGTACATTTTGGTATAATGGCGTTTGGCACACTGTTCATAACCTGATAATAATTCAAACAAAACAGAAACGCAAGTGTTGGGAGGGCAGACACAGCTGGGAGGAGTTCAAGGGAATTTTCAACAGCCCAAGATTTGAAATGCACTTATGAAAAATTCCGCAAACCATGCAACCTTGAAGTAGGTTACGGCGGGGGCTAGTGAAAAGCACAGGGTACAGCTAACTTAGGCTTACAGAGTCAGTACGACGTTTTAGTGTGTCATCATGTCACAAGCGACCGAGCGGAAAAAACAATTCTTACAGGGACCATTGATAGGACGGGCCGCCTAAGGGTCTAGTAATTCAGTAATCGTCCGTGAGATGAAATATAGTTTAATATAGCACCCAGTTCATTCGTGAGAAACGGGAGAACCCCATCGGATCGTGATCCAGACCTAGAGAGATGAAATGCTTTTCTATATCAACTAAATTCAAACAGGTAGCAACAACGATGGGAATGGATTTTATTGCCTCTTCATGCTAATAATTCCGGAGGTATTGCATGAAGTGGGGTTCTCGGGATGCCCTGTTCGAAATCCTAAAGTGGTTCCGTAGACCTCTAAAAGCAACTCGATATTAGTTGAGGATGTCCTAAGGGGGCGCAGTGGGTGTCATACTAGAGATTGAACACACTTTTCGGTTATCTTAGCTTCCGGTCGAGTTGTCTTCGGAATTCGATCTTTAGGAGACCATATATAATCGTTTTTGGAATCTATCGGGGTATCGTTTTACGATGGATACCAGAACTTCCTACAAGGAAAAGGGCTGTAGAATTAAGGGCGAACAATATTCAGTGATCGACTGACCGAACAAAAGGACCGGTAAAGTGGTGTCGGTGAAGATTGTGGGGACATTGCAATACGCAAGGGACACTATGGATGTTTAGCTTGTTCAGTGAACCAGGACGGACGACTGCGTCTGGCGTTAAATTGTGGAAGTTAGAATCCAAAGGGAAATACCATAAAAGCAAGTAACTGAGACCATTTTCGTACCGTGAACAAGTGGAACATGTTCCCACTTCCAGGCATGGTACTCAGTTGACAACTCTGGTCACAACCAAGTAGCACTGGAAACAAACATTCAATCAACTCCACGAAGTCATACATGGAAGCGGCACATCAAGACTTGCGGGAGGTTTACGGTGTCTGTCTCTGGAGCTAGGATTGAGCTGAAATATGCACATATGTCGTGACCAATCACAGCACAGCTGTAATTTGCGATATGGATTGTTAGGTCAAGTCGTAACTATGGTAATGTAAACAGATGAGTCGTTCTCCTGAAGAGCACTGAAGGCAGTACCAGGATAGGAAACACTTGTGTATCACCATATCTGAACGCGACACACTACGCATAAGGCCGCTGGAAGCTCATCGACAGCGGGCCATCAGAAACGAGAGATGCAGCTGGATTAGGTTGAGTCACCTGTTAAAACCAAATTCGTGTGCACAGGAGTATTTGTGGAAACATTTTTAATAGTTGTCCGAGAAGAGCATATCTTTGGTATGTGACATGACAGAGCCTGTTGGCGTCTCAATCGTGAAGTTTCTCTCCGCCGTGACAACAAGCAGGGTACGAGGATTTGAAGGCAATCCTGTTGATCAATTTGGTTTCGGATCATGTACCTCCGACCAGCCCGTCAAACCATTGGAGTGGATTTTCGCCTTTGGACAGGATTCATAACCTCTTTCCGAATACATCTAAATTCCACTCTCAGATGTATTCCAGATGCACCCAGCTGCTCCATATTCTGATTACGCTCACACGTATCATGTAGGTCCAATTGGTCCCGAAACGATAACATAAATCAGCAACGACAGTACTTGTACATAAATGTGATATGAATTCTACGGCTGCGCTCTAGTACATGGGGCACGTCTGGCGTACATGACCTAGAGCGGTTGTCTACACTTTGCTGAGTAAACATGACAAAACATGAACAGAAAGTAGACATGAGCTCAGCTCTACGTGGGTCCAAGCCCTGCACACAGCAACTATGAGCAAACCTCCGACACATATTCAACGGGTGAACATAGCGGATACCCAGATAACATTAAGAAAACACGTTTTAATGAACAGCGGTATTGGTTAGGTAGGTCTGAGGTGGGTGAGCCACATGTTCGGAAAACAGACCTACTCGTCCATTGTGAGTATGACTGAGTATGACCAAAGATGGGATGTAAAATTCGGCAGCATAACTCACCTGACCCCAGACAAGCTCGCCAACGCCGAAAAACAAGCACCAAAGCCATTGATCAGCAGTAAGCGGTGCCGTACTGAACGCATACGAACCAAATTGGATGAGGAGAACTTGGAGTACGAACGTGGCGAACCAGATGATGACAAATAGTGGATTGCGCTGCAATCCGCTGAACACATTTCGTTGACCGTGGATCTTGCGAGCGTTGAACTCGTTGAATAACGTCATCATGACCAGTGTGTTGAAGATCAGAGTGAAGTGCTGCGTAGGCTCATGTACTCTGATCCCGCTCATATTGTCCACTTCAATAAATGTTTCACCTAAAATGTGCGAGAAGCATACGTGCGGTGAGGTGGTAGACGACCCTATCAATGTCAGCTGCTCAGGAACGATGGGAGGGGGGAACAACAAACACTCGAATCGGATTAGAAAGAAGGGTATAGTTTTCTTAAAACAAGCGTCAACAAGACGGGTGGGTAAACAACTCGTGCTTTCAAGGTGTTGATACAAGAAAAGTCATCTGTCAACCCGAACAACAGTTGAACAGATGGCAACCAGAGAAAACAAGGGAACGTGAGTGAAAAAATAGAACACGTCGCAAGTATGTGTACTTCACCAGAAACACTCTGGTACCATCTGCTTGGGGATGCACAACAATCGTTCACGTTTGGATCTGTCCTATTAAAAATGGATAATCGATTTCGTTCAGATTTGTGACGCAGGAATGACAATTATCAGCGAAATACGTTCATTTGCATACCAATCTGATCTTGACGGGAGACTCACCTGGAACCCAGATGAATCTCGTTTATGGTGCTGTTAGGCAACTGAATGCGCTGCACCCGGCCGCCTCATGGCAAGATAATCGAGATATCGTGATACATGTTTAGACATATTACACTACTCATAAGAGTTTTCAGCAACCTTATGAGTATTGTAATACGTCCATGCAATGATTATTTCTGTTTTGGCCGAAAGCAAAATCTGGTTGATTCTGTTTGAGTGGCCCGTGTCAAGAGTCGCAAAAATCGTAGCAGCACTTCATGCAGTCTGCCGGCCCAAGCAACTGTTCGTTGGACCTTGGGAAATTTGGTTAGCCAGGTCTGTTGTGGCTATCTTGTCGGAATTTTTGATGCTACGTTCAAAAGTTAAATTCAACTAATTCCAAGGTTCCCAGACTATAGATTATCAGGCTCATTTTATGCGATCAAAAATAGTTTCACGAAGGCTTCTTCTATTGAGAACTGTTTTTAAAAAACTGGTTGTCATAATAGAAAAGAGCTGCAGATAGAACTGACCAGTTACACTAAAATCGAGCATCCAGACAAAATTGAAACAAGTGGCTCTTCAATTAGGGATCATCCACTACGCACGCACCACTGCAAAAATTCGTATTCGGCAATGTGAGGTGCTTGAGTAAATCAAGTTTGTGGACCTTGTTTTTGGGTGTGGGAAAAACGTTACGCAAGTCCGAAATAAGGTCTGGAACGGTGGTATGATGGAAGAGTAAGCCACAAAACAGCGCTGATGCTTAGACAAGAACCATTAAAAATACATAGCAAGGATGAGAATCGAGTGCGTTCCGGCCCGTGGCTAATGCGTCAATCCTTGGGCCATCTTAGACTCTCTTTATGATAGTCCCCTTAGTCAGTAAATTTGTTTTATTAGAATCTGATATCTCAGTTCCAGCTCCAAGCTCATTGCCTTTTGAGTTTTTATGATCGGTATTGGATTGGATTTTACACATCATCAATTGTAAAAAGCTGACGACCGACTGAGATTGGCGTAAACGGGGATTCCATCACAACGATTAGTGTTGGTGTCCCAGGTACAAACAAAGGTGTTACACTCAATCTGACTAAAGTATACGGTGTCCCGGGTAAGATGCCAGGAAAATGGCGGAGTCAATAAAGTCTAGTGGAAATATTTTCCAAGTCCAATTATGCAAAGGTGACACTTATATACCCAAACCACACCAGACCTTCAGATGCCCAGGCCAAAACACCTTATCCGTCGTCTAGCTGCTGATTTGACAGCCTTCATTAAATACGAATGAGTGGAAGTCGGAGATCAGTACATTAGAAATAATTTCATAAAGTCATTCTTCGCAGATATGCACTGTGGTTTCTGAACTGCGAAGAAAAACCCAACCTTTTTCCGGCCACTCGGAGTCGCCAGAAAACACTCCTGGAGCATGTGCCTTTGACTAACGGCTTTGAACATCCTACTATATGTCGTACAAGTGGATTTCATACGTGCTAATCTAAAGTGAACCAGCGTATAGTAGGTTCCGGTAACCAAAACCTGATAAGTTTGTAGCGCAAGTGTTCATGCCTTACAGGTTCAACATAGGCTAGATCTAGCACCGTAATGGACATAAACGAGTAATGTAAGTGAATGGTCACGACGTGAGTGATGCGCCCACATAGCCTAAAGCAACAATTGAGGTAAGCGATAGGCAGCGCTTGGAAATCTAGCTGACGAAGTAACCTGCAGGTTTCAAAAGACGTACTGGAGGTTGGATAGCACACAAGACGAATCATTAGTCAGGTGAACAAATCTCATGTCCTGTCTGACCATGGCCTCAAACAATGCTAAATCCTATGGAACAGCGAATTAGCCGGAAGTGTTTGGCGTTGCAGACCAGAGAACTCAGCAAGTGCATTGTTGTTTTACTTGGGACCACAGACTAACAGAATGAACGATACATTGCGGTCCGGGAAACTTGCGAGCGGATACCGGAAAACAGAAACTATTTGGTTGACTGCATATAATGGATCGTGTACAGAAGCCGATGTTGAGTAAAATGGTCTTCCTAACGGTTGATGAGCTCTGATAAGAGCAAAGCTCGAATCTAGTGCTTCCTCTCTTTGATTTTGACCCACCAGAATAATTGCGCCAGCAGAATTGTTCAAATGAAAATGATTTAAATGTGAGAAAACAGTTAACCGAAAGCCCCAATCTGTGGTGGTTGGAGAACTCTCGTCGCTGTTCTTCCACCAAGTCTACCAAAGTCCCTGAATACAAGCTGGAGATCTGCGGTGTGGACTACCATAAGTCCTTACTAGTTGTCTGTTGTATCGTGTTGTATCATGTATGGAGTTACGAACCGAACAGCGAACTAATTTGCATATTCTAAGAGTTTCAAAAAGGGTCCTGTCGTAAAAGTGGAGACAGACAGCGTGACTTTGAAAAAAGCCTCCAAAATGTGAGATTTCGCCGCGGACAAAATCGCTCTGTTAAGGAAAATATCTCCATTTGAGGTGATTCTCAAATTGCGGATGAAAACAATGATGAAAGTCGGTGTATGACCGACTACGGGGGAGGGGGGTTGCCGGATTTGTTGACCAACAAATCACATTCTGGCGTAACCATTGTAGGGTAACGGTTTTCGAGACCTGAAGCGATCACAAATCCGAGGCGAGCAACTACAGACTTCCAGCTCCTACATATCACACTAGAAATACGCCCGTCGGTTTGATAGATTAACACGTCTCAAAACTCGCGCAGCTGTACTCTACTAATCTCAGTATGACGAGTTATTGGAGACACATAGCTCTTGGTCTCTGAATAGTCTGTGTCACTATGGAATATGACAAACCTTACAGGCCAGACTGGCGTTGTCACCTGAGGCGCCATTCAGTTTATGATTGTTGATCAGTACAGAGGATAATAGTTCGTCATTAGGCTGAACAGTTAGGTGCACGTTAGGATTATTCCTAAAAGAGATCCACTAGTTCGTTGAACAAAAGGACTGGAAAATGTGAAACAAAACGAAGAATTCAACAACGAAACAAGACTGTCGCAAAGAGGGGGACAGGGAGACTCTGCTGATCATTGCACTGTGGTGGATTGCAGGCTAAAAGTGATTTGATCGTAGTATTGTCTGATGTCAGCAGTCCAACAGCTGGAAAACCACGAGCGCGACAAGAACAGGCATGTTTATTGTCACATATCTTACAGTTATGATTTCCACGTGAACAGGTGGCGCTATAAAGTCATTTGCAGGATTTGATTTCTCTGGCTGTCTGTCGAATGTGCCAAGTGAATGAAGTGGACCTCGAAGGAGTCACACGTACATGTGTTTATTTGGAACAGTATGGACCCTTCAATCGTGACGACATCATTATGTTCATAGCTTAGAATTGGTCGGCGGCTCCGAAAAAATGATTTAATAGGCGATCCGACGGTAAGCTTTCAGCAAGACACATCCAACAAATCGATACTCACAAAAACGGAGCTGGTATTTTAGTGTAATGCAAAGTCAATCAATGAAAAGCGTCGCCGTCAACATCAAGATAACTAAACGGTAATCCACTAAAAAGAAGCCTGACATCATGAATAACGAGGTTGAGGCACGGGGGAATCTAAACAGATCGCTGCGGTGGGAGGAAATTCACTGACACAAATCTGGCGTATTCCACTGTTTTCATCTGTAAAACATCGAGGTAACATAACATATGGTGGCCAGACTGTTGTGTTTGGTTAAGCTGATGAAGGCGAGCTGCCAGAATCACGTTACTCGACTGTAGATAATGAGACGTCGGGTAAATATAAATGAAACTTTTTGATGCTGGAAGTAACTGGTTTTCGTGTGTGGGAGACGGCTCTTCGTAAAACAGAGATAAACCACACAATCAGCAGACTCGACGGAACATTACATTATATCCGGTGTCCATAAACAGACACACAGCGACATGAAACTTCGGAAGACGCGCCTAAGTAAGTGATCAGCTGATCAAAACAATCCGGGTTGATCAGCGCAGACAAGGATGAGCTCCTCCGATTCTCGTCACGTCATTAAGTACAGGGACAGAAACGCCAATCATCTGAATATTCTGATACCAGACTCGACTCGCTAGTTTATGCATAGCCCGTAGAGATTAATATCCCGGACTTCTAAGGAGGGGAAAACGAGTCACGCTGGAATCTTCAACTGCCAGCTCGTAGTCGTACGGAAGCGACGACTGTCAAAGGACACCACAAGCTATGCTATACTTGGCCTATAGACGGAAAGCTATAATTTCATGGTATACTGTTCACACGTAACTTGCTATTGCCCAACCGATAAGCAGCTCAAAACTCAGCATTAAAAACCTCCAGATAGAGCAGGACCGCCTACACCGGAAAGTGCGCCCACATCGTGAACACGAAAACACACAAGCAACTTGTTTGAATGTGTAAAGTGCAGAGGGAAACGTCACCGGAAGTTGATAGAATCCACATCAATCAAACTGTTGCTTGATGGTCAACAGCTTATAACCACTGACCAAAGGGTAACCACACCGATCCGGTGTACTTCTGTCTGATGAGTCCAGATAACGACGGAGGGTATCACGTGGCTGGTCATCTTGGCATCCGAACATGCACTTGTTTCACTGTCTCATTAGAGCTTGTCTTTCAGTATTCCCTACTATACCACGTCGACAACGATGAGAATCGAGATTGTTGAGGAGGTCAGGATTCTTGTAACAGGCAGATAGCCGAAATGCGGACTCACCAGCAAACAAGAGCAAGAAGATGATGGCTAGTTGGTAAAACCCGTGGCCAAGAATGTTCTTAGCCATCTGGCGACTGATCAGAGGTTGTTTACGACCATAGGGTGCACGCTCCAACAACTCCATCGAAGGCTGTTCGGTGGCCAAAGCCAAACTGGCCAATGTGTCCATGATCAAGTTAACCCACAACATTTGGATGGCTTTCAATGGACTGTCCTGTAGAATGAAAAAAAGCAAAATGAATCCGTACACACGTTATGGGTAGGATAGTGTTGGTTCGGGTCGGAGTAAGATAGATCCCCATGAAATCTTAAGACGCTGGAAACAGCTAGGGACTGTCGTAACAAACCGAACAGATTCAGTAAACAGCGAACCGTCTGTAAAAGCAAAGCATTCTGCGCTGAATCTAAGTCGTTGCTCAGATTGGACCGTGGGGAATGACGGATGGATTTATGGAAATCGATCGATAGACAGATTGTTGTTAGGACATCTGGCAAAACTGACTAACTAGAATGTGCAATGAACAGAATATGACCATGCGGAGCAGCAGTCAGAGCGCTAGGACCGGCTGCGTAGGCTAAGGGTTCTTACAAGAAGGTAGTCCAATGTATACCCGGTACTTGGGTGAAATGTAATCTTCAGTGATGAGCGGGTTGTTCTGCATGTAGCTGGACCGAAAATGCGGGCTGAGGCGGCATGTTCGTATGTCCAGTGCACGGTCCTCAGTTGAGAGGTGGGCCTGTGCGGACTCGTCCAGAGTGATCTTCCACTAGATCACACGACTAATCAGCTATGCTTAAAAATAGGCGAGGAAAGTCCGCAATTGATGCTCACGGCTCAGAGTTCTAGTCTAATTCAGATCGTGTGAAATACAACATACCAACGACCACAGAAGTCACGGGTTGCTCAGGATTAGTAGGCTTGAATCGTTGTGTTAGTTGCTCAGGATAGTAGGCTTGAATCGTTGTTAGTATCTTGGGGAAGGGAGTGACTGACCAAAATCATTCTGGCTGCTACGTTGAAATGGACGTCCATCTCATGGAAATTTCACTCGCATTTTCCATCAGTCTTTGGGCACTAAGCTCCAACAGCCTATTGAATTGGTTATTTCAAACAGAATAGAGAGCACAATGGGCGTCTTTTGACCGGTAATTACCACCTGTCAACCAGCACGTTGAATGTGATACACTCGGTTAGGGTTTATGTGTCAACTGGAAGTGAATATGTCACTAGAATCACCAAATGCGACATAAAGTCGAAATTCCCGAAGTGTTCAGAAACCTGAGAGAAGGAGTACTCAGAGAAGGAAATGAACGTGCAAGGGCTGCATAATGAAAAGCCCCCCTTTCAGGGACGCGCTGGTTGACAACACTACCAGAGAGGACCGGGGACCGAAAAACGGTAGATTCTGATATCCATGGTACATTGTACATAATACATTTCACCCAAATTATCGTGAAATGTTTTTGAAGCAACAAACACCAGGATGGAGAAATGGACGTCGACATTTGCGTCAAAACCAGCTAGCAGGCCACCGAACACAAAAAGGACCTTCGATATCAAGTCACGGACACCCGCGAACAAGGCTTACAAAGGTGATCTGTTGAACGATAAGCTTTAGAAAAAGGCGTCTGTGACTTACATCTAGAAAACATGCACCAGCGAAAGCCACAACGATTGCGACCATATTGACCGTCAACTGGAATTGCAGAAACTTTGTGATGGAGTCATACACATTGCGCCCCCACATTACGGCCTTCACAATGCTCGAGAAGTTGTCATCCGTAAGAATGATATCCGAAGCTTCTTTGGCAACATCTGTACCGGCAATGCCCATGGCGAACCCGACATCAGCGCGTTTCAATGCCGGACCATCATTGGTTCCGTCCCCCGTTACTGCAACCACTTGCCGTGAACGGCCAGCTTTGCTCCGAATCATGTGACTTACCAGCACGTATTTGTCCTAAATTACAGCGGGATAGAAAACAACGAAAAAGGCTCACTGGAAAAGTGAGTGGATGAGTGGATAACACAGAATGCCCCCGCTCCCAAGAGAATAGGTTACGGTAGATCAACAGGCAGAAGCAATACCGATTCAATGGACACCCTTAAACATTACAGTTAACCCCACTGCGGATACCAAAGTCAATTTGTCGAAATATGGGTAGCTCGAGTGTGTTTACTGGTGGCTGATCGGATGGCAGTTGATTTGTTCGCCGAGCTTGGCAACTGGCTTAAAAACGTCAACTGCGCACTGACGACCGGGGACGAAACGTTTGCAAGCCAAATGCCAAGCTCGGCGAACAGATCAACTGCCATTCGATCAACCACCAGGAAACCAAGGCCCTTTTGGGTTGTTCCCCCAAGGGATGGACAAATTTGAAAAGGATGGATAATGATTTAATTCAAACTGATCGGTCTATTTCTGCAATTTCAGTAGAGAACTCCACTAAAGCAGTCGAAGCAGCCTGTGTTGAGAGGTACTGCCCTACGTCAGGTGTCCATGAAGAGCGAGGCAACCGTTTTCAATGCAGACAAACATGCCGTTCATGAATGATGGCTTATCCTCCGGACAGTTTAGAGAGGACATTTGCATAAAAATCATCCCAACTTTCGAATAAATCGGAATTGAAGAGAAACTAAACGCAGTCTGCGTTTAAAACAAGTAGGGGAATGTTATCATCCTGCTCTATAGCCTAAGTGAATGACCAACTTTCGTACCTCTTGTCCCTTCCGATGCGTACTACAGTTGACCACTTACTACCCCGGAGGGGGCTGATTACGTTCACCTTCTGAAATCAATCAATCAGCCCATCTCCAACTGCGATTAAACTGTCGGCATCTGTGAGTGTGTGTTTGATGACACTTACGTACGTGTCAACCTGAGGATTGTAAGGGATACAAGGACACATGTATTGCACAAATAGGCTGCGGACAAACGAATCGCTGGCAGGAGGGTATGGGAAAGTCCAAGTATCCCATACAGATTTAGTTTGATTTCGATGGAGTACCGCACGGCAGTTAGAATTCTCAAGTGCGAAGCAGTCGCGCGTAGCTCCACACCAGAGAAAAACAGAAACGACCGGATTCCCATTAGTCAATGACAAAAGAGCTTCATTAATTATTCAGCGTAACATAGGATATAAATTACGAAAGCCGCTCAAAAACACAAGCATCAAACGACCAGATCGAGGGGGGGGGGGGGGAGGAGTGAGTAAGAACGGCGACTTGAAAGCCAATATGCAGATCCGAACCCAAAGGATTACGTATGATGAGGAAGGCGGACTATGGATTAACCGATTACCGACAAAGACGTTTAGAACGAAGGATACTAGATTGCGTTTGGGATTAAACAGCTCTACGAAATGAAACATGTCTTAATGAACGCAAACTCGACAGAACGTAAATCTGGGGCACATTAGTAGGAATGATGGTGGCAATTTAGTCGGAGTAAAGAAACAAAACACGAGTGATGCCTCTATGTACTATGCATGGATTTCAACGGTTGATAATATTTTCCAGACGCGGACGCGTACCAGAAGAAGGAGCGAAAATGAAAACCAACGTTTTTTAAAAGAAAGTTAAGGGATTAGTGGGAACATATCCTGCCTAAATGCAGTTCAACCGAAAAGTAACCAGCTGACCGGAAGGTTGTTAGTCCGAAGCTTCCCAAGGATTCATGAAATTCACTTTGCTAGTTCACTTCCCCTTGCCGAAAAGGATACACAAATAAGTTGAGCTTGCACAGTTCTGGATGAAGAGAGATACCCCTCCAAGCTCGGCAAACAGATCAACTGCCATCCGATCAACCACCAGTAAACACACCCGAGCTACCTGTATGTCCCAACTACGTACTTGTTGATATGTATTCTCATAATGTTATTGGAAAGACTATAGACGAACAAAAGCCTTCGGAATCGTGTCTACGTGCCACTACTTATCTAATGATTACACAGCTAATACAGGGAAAAAAACTAGTAGCAGAGTTACGATTCGTCCAACACGGAAATAATGTATGCACAACCAGCTGACGGCCAGAATGAAAGGTCACGCAGTGCATGTGTGACTAGTGTATGCATGTGTGTGTATACACATACAGGTGTGTATGCATGTGTTGATGTATGTATGTGCATCAGGTGTAGGTTCCACAGGGCCAAGGTTGACCTAAACGCCTGCACACATCGCTTTTGGTGACAAAGGACTGGATTGTGTGGACGTATTACAACGGCTTCCGCCGTGTACGTAACGAATTCCGCTTTTGTCTCGAAGCTGTTGAAGTTCGTCTACCGGCCAGTCCAAATGGACTTACATAAACTGACCTCGGTAGTCGTTTTAACCAAGATCTGGGAAATGAAACATCATCTGTTTCTGATGCCAACGTGAATTGTGCAGACAGATGAGTTTCAGTGAACACTTTATCATTACTGGACGCNAACCACACATAGTTGTACAAACGTACATGTTCAATAATATCTTTCAGTCTGTCACCTTTAAGCATATCCGTTTCTACCAATCTTATGAGTAGTGTGTTCCACCATGAAAATATACTACAAGGCGGCCCCTATGCGCCCTATTCAGTCGGGGTTCGGCTGGGATTAGGTTGAGTTTACCAATAAAAAACAAATTAACGTGCAAAAGTATTTCACGAATGGTTGTGTACCCTTTTGCCCTTGTACAGCAGAAAGTGTTGGACAAAGTACGAGAACACATCACTTCCGGGAATACCAAAAGAATCACCAGAAGTACCGTTGTCTCACACTTGGCGGACATAAGTCATGTTGTTAATCCTATCGAAGGGTTTCGCGCTGACTATACTGAGTGGCGTACAGAGGCTTTGTTGGGCCATGACTGAAGCGGTTGCAATGATCCCACACAATCTCAGCCCTGTGTGACAGGAAACGTTCTGCCCTACACGTAATGCACACACACACACAAAGTCTTACAGACGCGATTTGACCTTTTAGTCTATCCGTCGGCTGGTTGTCCATAGGTTGTCCGTGTAGGATGAACCTTGACCCGTTCCATAACTGTTTCCACTGGCGACGCTCGGAAGCATTTATTGTTAGTTCAATGGGTGGCTGCTGATCTGCTGGCAACTGAATTTCACTGGATGTATATCACCTGATCAACTACCAACTATTTTAACTATTTAACCATTTGATAAGTATTGATCCGAAAGCAATTCGTTCATCAACCGGGGTAGAGTACGCCCTGTCAACCACGCATCACTTCCCCTTATTCATCGTTCATGTCTCGATAGTTGCAAACCGGATTTCCAGTAATATGACCTACACTCTCACCTTATCCGAGAATACGGTTGTCATGATTGTAGTGGGGCTATGTCTTCTTATCCGTTTACCGTTTTCTTACCAGAAGGTTATTTGTTTCACTTCCACTACCTCCTCAAACAATAGACCTTCGACCGCAACTCTCTATCGAGATATAGCTTGTCTAACCCTATTCTATTGCTCTTAGCGCAGACGAGGCTGTGCTAAGACGATACTTGCCGATCCCTCTCCCCAAGCTTTCTACAGCAACACTCCGGTCTTCATAGTTCAGGGTATCCCATCCAGGTCACTCCTCTCCACGGTCGAACTGACCTTTCCGCTTCCTCTTTTATTCAAACAGTCAAACCCTAGAGTCATTTATCACGCTCTCTTTCCCCGTTACACAATCTCCGTTTTTTTGAGACTCGCGTAAACATGCGCCTAAACAGACCCAACCAAGCGTATTGTGTTTTTATACTGTTTGCTTTTTGCTAGCATTTTATACAAGGAGCTTTCATCTTTTATAATGCATGAAATAAAGGGATTATGGGGCCCCAGAAAGTACGTTTTACTGTTGTTCTATAGATCACACAAGGTTGTGTGAAAGTTAGGAAATCAGCTCAGACGAAAAATCTGCTGTTTTGGTTCGGCTAACTATTTAGGGTGAGCTAGCTGTGATAAATAGCGCGCAGACTGTGTTCGCTCTCATGTCACGTACACATGATGACCTTGAAGCATCCATTTTCACTCAATTTTGATTGATTCAGAAGATACTGTCAGTGAGATGGGCTGAGGTGAAATGTTCCATAATAGACAGAAAGTCGAGGAAGCCAGCACAGGGTAAGTTCCACTGCTACCAGGTCCAAAACGACATAACCGATGTCAAGACCTTCGGGGAAATGTCCAAAATTTACTCGCATGTGTCTCTGTTCTTTAATTTGACACTGTAGGTGTTAAACCTTAGTACAACTATCAAGACAGCCTCCTAAACTTTCACTATCGTCAACAAAAAATACTCTGTTAACACTGAGAGGCTGTTAAAGATCACAAGAGACGAATTTTCTGGCGGTAACCCTTATAAGTTTGGAAAAAGTTACGGCCACTTTCAAACAAACTTTGTTGAGAGGATTTAGGTCCTTTGGAGTTTCAACAAGAACCATCAGCCATTCTTACAACGATACAATTGTCTTTTGGTGAAAAATCCAAGCATGTTTTGGACTAGACGGTAGCATTCTTTGCTCAAAATTTAAAGCAAGCTGTTCGTACAACTCACTAACTGAAATAATTGGTTAGCGAAACCAAATTAAACGATCACATGCACGAATAGATTCGTTTTCGATGTCAAATATGGTAGACCAATCAACATACAGAATAATGTACAAGCATACTATTCAGATCAAACGAAACAGTGATGAACCAAGGGAACAGAGCTTCGATCTAGTGTATGCGTTGAACTCTGGTTGGAGGTTGGGGTTAGGTTTATAAGGGAAGACAGTTGGGTTTGGTTGATGGACCGTGATGGGGCTCGAAAAGAATAGTGTGTCAGAAATCTAAACTTTTTCAGCTTCTAAACATTCGGCAGGGCAGCTGTGACATCAAACCGGTTCACCTTGGATTAGGGGAAAGAAGTTGAGAAGCCTACCGGATGAGCTCCAAGAAGAGCGAAACCGGTCGTGGGCTGTCGAAGAGTTTTCAGCAACCTTGTGAGTACTTTCCTTTATGAAAGTTGAGAAGCCATTTCCAGCCACTGCGGAAATATGGTTTCAAAAGTGCTCTGTCATCTGGATAACTGAACGGGGACGACAGTAGATCCACGAATCGAACGCATCCCACAGATCAACCCAACGGTAGAAGTACCGGAAAATTCACTGTCCTATCACATCAAGGTGTGTTTTGTATTGAGCCCAAGTATTTCCATAACAGGGAAGGTGAATTAACAAGGTCGACTGCACACAGAGGAACAATGTGTAGTCGGATAATTGACCCTTAATTGGTAGTTAAACGCCAATGTATAGGAAAGTCGTATTTTCTAGCATATTTTGACAGTTTCGATAAGTATTCTTACTTTAATATGAGCAGTAAGCTCATTCAAGCTCTAGATGGCGCAAATGTATGGAATTGATGAGACGTCTTGGACCGGAACTTCTACTGATATAACTAACGAGAAAAAATCGTTTAGCTGTAGCACCCTTTCGGTGCCAGGCCACCCGAAGTTTGCACGAGGGCTGTGATATTGCCCAAGCCTAGACACGGGAAGTCAAGAGGCAGAGGTCGGGTTCGAACCACGGACCTTCCGGTCAGTAAAATCGCACTGTAACCACTTGGGCAATCTCGCCCAAACTAACTAGTGAAAACAACTGGGATATCCATCTACCCGACGAAGACAATGTTCGAATTCATAACGAATGTGCATTAAATGCGAATGAGCCATAGAAAACTGTCATTAATATCAACAGGTACGTAATCGCAGATTCGTACTGAAATCCTCAGCCAACTACCGTGACCACAAACCAGTGCAATCGTGGTGGGGTGTTGTTGCATCAATGGGAAATTTTGGCCAATGAAATGACGTGTGAAATCGCATTTGGTTCAACTCCCGGTGAAGTACACTTGATGGACTAGTGTAATCAAGTCAGCCGGCAGCTTTGGGTAAAACCTGAACCGCAGAGAACGAACAGCAATAAGAGGAAAGCACTGACCAAATTAAACGAGAGACGCAACTGAATCCCTCGTTTACGGTATTCTACAACTGCGATATCTCGAATATCGTCCCAACTGAATCATGAGGCGACCTGTGTGCAGCGAATTCAGTTGTAGAATAGCATAAACGAGGGATTCAGTTGAGTCTCTCGTGAAAACCAAATTGATTTGCAAATGAGTGTATTTCTCGAAAACAGTCCAATTTGGGTTCAAGTAGAACATAAAGTTGACGGAAACTCGGGGACTGCGCCTACCTGATGAGCCCCAAGAAAGGCGAAACCGGTCGTGGGCTGTCGAAGAGTTTTCAGCAACCTTGTGAGTAGTTTCCCTTATGAAAATATACTAGGTTGATATCTTATTGACGTGCAACTGACATTGAAAGTTCAAAATTGGCGGCAACACATCGAGTGTAGACATGTGGCTGCACAGAGATGAACCATGCGTGTCGAAACCGAGATTTTCGCCTACATTAATGACGCCGATACCGGAATTGTGTTTGCTAGGCGGACAGGTCGATAAGAAGCATATTCTGCCATAGAGCTGTTTGTTTCACAGAGATGGGTGAGAGTAAAATGCATGTGGCCCGTATTTGAGGCTGAGCTTTTGTCAGTCGTAGGCTGATGTGAAGCCATTCGGTGTGCTACCTTTTCCAGTTGGCTGAGATGAGTAGAACTCGCTGTAAACGTGAATATGGCACGAAAGCAGTAAAAAACGGGTCTATCGTTTTTGCCAGACAGACTTCACCCCACTATAAACCTTTTCGAGTCTTCAACAATTAGTTTGTTGTCATGAAGGTGAGTGAGATTCGACATATAAAAACACTCGGGGCTCGGTGAGGAGCCTCGTTATAGAGTAGTATTTGTCATACAAAACTTTCATCACCATTGAAAATAATACTAGACAGGTGGAACCCCTATCCCAACCTGGAGACTTGGTCTCCGGATAAACATGAACAAGTTTCCTCTCGGTAAAAACAAACCACTATTTACGTACTTGAATGTGGATCGCACACGTTGTCCTCGATTGGTTCTAATGGGGGAGGACATTCTACTAGCAAGCCGTCTTATATGTCTGTCTTTGAGACAGCCTGTGAGTGACGTTTCACTCCTAGTTATGAAAACAAGGTAAAAAGAGGCGAGCATGGGTGGGTAGTTGCCTTAGACGCCAGAGATTGTGGCAAGCAATAAAAACACTTTACGGCGAGCTAGTCAATTTGACTAAGATGAAAGCCCATTTGTGCCATCGCGCTACGGTGCCTGTTGGAAAGATGACACAACGCTAGTTGATTTGATTAGTGGAGTACTTGATGCGGTAGTTAATGGTTACAGAAGCTGACTGTTGTTCAAACACCTAGCAGTTTAAATTTATCGAGTAAAGGAAAATCATGGTTAGGTCAGGCCAAGTACGCATACACACAGATGTTCGTTTCTGTCGGGGGTTGGGAGGTTAGAGTAGATAGAGTGGATTTTCTTCAGCTAACGGCAAGCATACGTGAGAAAATGAATCACAGCATGCTACCTACCTCCAACTTTGTCTTGTACTCTGTTCAAACGAAAACTCAAGGATGACGGACATGGCATCATCTCGGTGAATGTTGAAGAGGTCAGTTGAGATGTTATTTAGATTTTGAGGATCGAACATGAGATTCGAACATGCTTCAGAGATGCAGGAAATATGCATGAATTTTCGGTATTCGATTCTTGACTCACGTGGGAACGTAATTTGTTGGGAAAAATGCCACCTATTATGACGTACAAAGTAGAGATTGGGGATTTCCGACAGTTTTGTGCGATGAACAAAACAAACAAAGCTGATGCGGGGCTTTTTTCACACGGAACATTAGTTTTTTTGTGAGCACATCATTCGGCGCAGCATTAGACGATGGAGATTGCAAAGAACTGAGAAGAACATGGATACCGGTCAAAGATGGGCAAATGAATGCGGGCACTGTCATAGGAAAAAGGTTTAACGAATGAATTAGGCTGCAAGTGCATCGTACAGACTGACACAGACATCGGGCGTTTATACGTCGTTTCGGTAGAGAATTTCCCTTTTAGAATACCGAATTTATTCTCACAATAAAGTCCGTCAACTATATGCCCTTCCATATCACCACAAACCATATTAGTAAACAGATATGCATATAGCATAGGGCTGCTCGTCTTGTTGACAGTCTATCGTATTGCCTGAACTTTGGGCTAGCTACACCCAACACAAAAAAGTGAACACGTGATCGTGGTCTCACCAAAGTTCAATCAGATCATCACGAAAATAGCCATTATATTTTACACCTGAGTACCAAACACTTCAGAGTGGGGTTTCAAGGTACTCAGTTGACATATGTTTTTTTAGTGTTAGAATGTAAATTCTACACTAAACAACCGCAGATAAAGAGACCATTCATGGACTTTAACATCTATTTACAAACGCGGATGAACAACAGCCGCTAAAGACGTGCTGGTGAAATTTAACTGGACAATTTGGCGTTTGTGTTTGTTCGTTTTACCAACCAATTAAATCCGGAGGAATAACTGACGATGAAACAGGATTGCGGGCAACAAGGACCACTAGCTGACCTGAGCATAAAAGGTAAATAGTCGCAGAGATATGAAGCTCTTTCGACCCTAATACTGTGACAGGGAGATGGGGCGCTTGATACACGACAGTTTATGCAGTACCTTGAATAGAAAAAACCAATGCATCTAATGGTTTAGGTCACATCGAAAACAGTGAAATCTTTAAACACAAATTACAAGCGAAGGACAGTATACATCTGTCATTCTCGATGTTGCCTCGATAACGCTGCTCTCTCAGCGCAAAACAACGTGGACAAAGAATAGCTTTGTTCATGGGAACTCACCTGCGGGGAGGAACGAGCCAAAACTCGAAGATTGATCCACACCTTGTCGAACAGTGCCTGTGATACATGGCCAGTTGACTTTTCTCTGATGCGCTTATTGAATTCTTTGCCCTCCAATACGAGGAAGTTTTCACCCGGCTGTAGTATACCGCATTTGGATGCAATCGCTCGGGCTGTATTGACATTGTCCCCAGTCACCATGCGTACGGTTATGCCAGCTCGTTGGCATTGTTTAATGGCAGCAGGAACTTCGGGTCGCACTGGGTCCTCAATACCTATGATGGCCAAACATGTAAGGCCTTCCAAAAGATGGTCCTCATCGTCCCAGTTCGGTTCGGACTTCACCACCATATCGTTCGGTGAGGAAGAAGACGAGTCTGTTGGGATTTCAATACAAGACAAATCGTCCGGTGTAAACGCATTCACGTGTGGCTCATGCCAGCATTCCGTACATTCAAAGTCTTTTGCTCGACTAACAACTACAATGTCCCGAAACACAGATCACAATGTATTTTGTCCTGACATACTAAGAGAGTAAAAATGCTCAGACCGGTATGTGGAGAAAAGTGAAGAACAAAAAGGACTAGCTGCATATAGTAATCCCTTGTGCCTTAACCATAAGATATCGGAAAAATTTTGCAACCTCAATTAAGCAAACTGCAGTCGCTGTATCCCCCAGAAAATTTGACAAACAGCTGAGGAGATTTGCTACTGACAACACGGTGATGATAATGATGAAAGAGCTGCAGCTCGGTTTGAACAAGTTAAAGCTCGCTTCGAACACCTCGAAAAAAACAGATGTTCGAAAGTTAGTTAGTCACCTTGATTGGAAACAACCGATGCTGGTGCTTATACGTCTAAAAGTAACCAGTTATTGATTAATTGCCATGAAATTGTCCCCGAACTAATATAAGCGACACAGTAAGAACTTGGAATAAAAGAACTTTTCGGCGCAGTTATTAGAGCTCATTTGGTGTCATATTCGACCGTCTACAGTCATCCAACTGAATACGGGCATATGCGTAGAAGGCATAGAGAGACCTCAGATGATAGATGGATAGAACCGTGCATGCGGATAGTGACTGACCAGACGAATTCAGGTTGGTCGATTAAATTACAGGACCCCCGGATCACAAGAATCGCTGTACCGGAACACGACAGAACACCGTCAGTCGACAAAACGAGAGGTTTCTGTTGCGTCGGGCAGACTCATCGGCCAGCCGTAAGAGCCTTTCGGTGTCTAGATGTCACGTCACGTGGTCAGAGCATAGACAGAATTAGTCAAGATGTCAGACTTGGGTTCGAGCCACAGACCTTCCGGTTAGTGAGTTAGCTCCAGATCCGCTGAGCTATCTCGGGCTCGCACAGAAATTGTACTCACGTGATATGCCAAACCAGAACTGTGTGGAGAAACAGATGGTTGTGCGTTTGATTTTAACGCGCGGAGGCCCAAGGTACGATAATCTAGGCCGAAAAAAAATTGGTCCCCTGATCTTCACTTGTGTACAACCCACATTTTCGCTCCATCATTTAGTCGCCTTCGTTATCCTAGACCCAACCGGATGAGCTCCGAAATTCACTAAATTCGCACCCGCACTCACATTGTGCCTCTCAGTATGGATTGTCCACATCTTGTCCATATCTAGTTCGATTCAGCTTGACTGCTACCTGCCTACCGTCTAATCTGCATCTGATAGTGATTTGCAGCGAGGAGCTTTAGAAACCCATCATTAAATCTACCAGTTGTCACCCAAACTCTTACGAACAGACGTCATGAAATTGTATGGATTCTAGTATTCCTAGTGTCCCTTCACAGGCGAGTGTTTTACACCTGTTGAATAGAATAAAATGTGGATAATCTGAAAGTAGAAAAAAACTGTTAGAGTTTACTGCGTTCAGCCTCTAGCCGGGTTTACAAGCCAACACCGCGTCTTGGGCGTAGTAATCTTTCCGAACGGAGGCTGCCACGGGGAAAAGAGCTTCAGTCTCCCTTGGGAAACTGGCAGCGGCCTATTAACAGCATTCATAGCTTTTACCTTGTTCTGATCGCGTTGTCAAAGCAGCGCTTAAAAATTCCACTCATATCCAAATCGATCTTATCACAAGGTCCAAAATCAATATCGACTAGTAACAAAAACTTACGATTTCTTGCATAATCACCCAAAAATAGTTACCACTCGAGCGCCAGCCTAACTAAACACAAGATTGCAATGCCGACATTTTGCGACACAAGCGTCATTCCACTATCCAGGGACTGCACCCTAATTGAGCTTTGGCTTGCGATGACAAAAAAACTTTAACTTAAAACGAAGTGATTGATTGTATTCTGTCTTCGTATTCATCGATATCCTAGTGGCATGGAATTGGCTGAATGTAAATACTACCACCATTAATAATGATAACAATAAGGATAGTCGTTCAGCTGTAACACCCTTTCAACGTTTCGCTGAAGGAAGGATAAAGGCTGAGACAATGCCAGGTTTCTCAAGTCAAGATGTCCAGACTGGGTTCGAACCACGGAACTCCCGGGAAGCAAGTTCGCGCCATAACCACTGAGCTATCTCGGGCTCGCTGACCGACTGTAGCGTGTTCAGAACCAAATAATGCGTCATATATCCTGTGGCAAGAATCGGGATCAACAAAGCGACCAGCAAGGTTCATCAAGTTATGGTGGTTGGGATATGTACTAGCACAGTCCACTGAAAAGCCTTGCTTTTCAGTCCGAATGCCTATCTCACAAAAAAGGGGGTATTCACTTAACAGCCATTCAACCGACTGAATAAGCAGGCACATTGCCACATTCTAGCCGTGGATAGCTAAATTTATCTCTTGATTTCGGTCCATACTCAGTGAGTTTCGCAGGCGATGCAGGACTAGACGAGCTAATGGCGCATTAATCATCTCAAGGTGTGAAACGACCTTGTTTGTGCCATTCTTCACTTTGCATCAGACGCACTGCGTTAAACCTCCGCCTCTACCCCTTCTTCTCACTCCTCCCTCATTGTTGTGTGGCACCTAAGCGGTAGTGTTTACTGACGGTGCATTGTCCTCGGGAACGGAAGACATCCTTCATCAAAACTAGAGAATAATGCACATCTACTCCGTGATAACCAACTATAAGGTGATTCCTAATGTTCAATAGGGTCTAGAGTAGTAGCATTAAGGAGCCCAATCTGAATGTTGTCCCTTGCAATGTGAGGTCTACCAGGACTTACGGAGTGGTAACCGTTGAACTTCAATAAACAGAATTAAAATTTACTCCGCTCGATAAATCAGGCTTTCAGCAACTGAGAAACCTTCGGGACGTAGATTAAACTTACGTCGTTCAATGCTACGTCAAGCCCTTGCAGTACTTATCGAAGCTCACGAAGTTTGAGCTCCTTCTACTAGGGTGAAAATCACTACCTGAGAGACAAAAATAGTTGTTTGTCTGCGCGGAAACGAAACGGTCTCGTCAGAGGGAGAGAGAGAGAAAGGGAATATCATAGAAAGCTAACGAGTAATGCTGGTTGTGGACTCTTCGGGAGTATCCTGTCTTCGGGTACAACTATTGTATGGGTTAATCTGTCACCTTGATTTGAACGTTAAGTACAATTGAGTCAAGTTGACTGGCGCCACTTCCGGGGTTTGTTTCACTAATTCACTCACTTCTTGATATGTGTTACACAATCGGACATCGCGAGATTCAAAAAATCGAAAATCGAGCTGTCCTCGCAAACAGTGAGAAATAAGGATCGGTGATGGTCAAAATTGCGAACTGCCCGTCTATGTATTTGCTATGTTCCTGTCAGCCTGTCATAGGAAGGTTAGTCAAAACACAGTAGATATTTGAACCAACACCTGTTGACTAGTGCCGTTACAGTAACTGAGCTATCACCGTTCCGGCAAAACTACACGAATATTGTCAACTTCCTTAAACAGGCTGTAAGCGGTATAAGGGTTCAAGTAATAACCAAACCCATTGCCAACGCCACATCACAAGGCGGCTTCATTTGGTCAGTTTGAGACCAGGATGCTACTGCCATAGTGCAACTTATCTCTCTGGGGTGATCTGTTATAACTTGTGAAGTGTTTTGGAAGTGGCAGACAAGTAGGACACAGAACATAGAGCCTCTGCAACTCAAGACAAGAGACAAATGCGCCGACATCCTAGTTATTGGGTAGAGTTGCAGTCGAAGGGGCGTCTGTCCATTGTACTCCAGTACCCTGTAGTGGGACAGAAATAACAATTGATTCCTTCGGCAGAATTAGGCAACAGCCAGGCCGAGGGGAAACGTTGATGTGGCATGTTTAAAGGAACGGACCCCTCTCGAAGGGGCCACTATCTGGGGAATACTGAGGTGGTTTTTGGAGCATATTCCAAAGCTAGTCGGACTAGATGCGGAAACCAGAGGTTTAAGATAATAGACTGGTTACTATTTAACTTCCCGGATTCTATTTTATTCAACATGTGTTATTACAGTGTACGTTGAGCGGTTGCATAAAAACAAACTGACAACTTATCAAGTTTTGTTTTGAAAGAATCCGGGCGTTGCTACGTTGAGGTCGAAGATAGCATGCGGTATAGAAACCACTGGCAAACAGCAAATACTGATGTTCACTACATAATTCGTCCGAGTTTATTGTTCAGTGTGTGGTACTCGAAGGCGTTCACATGAGACTTGTAACACGCAATTCTGCGATTGATAAGGATGACACAGACATCGCAGTGTCTAACAAGTAACCCTGCCTACTACGTTTCACCAAGCGATACTATGAATACAGATAGAACGGATCTATAGAAACCTTCAACACACACCACACAACCACACACCAGTTGACATCTTTAACGACCATGATTTTTTCATCACTTTGCTCCTTCTGTGATTACCCCATCACTAGGCTTCATATCACTTCTCACTCTTGTAATAAAAGACCTACCTAATATTGACAGAGCTGAGGTGAAATCTTGCGTTTCACGCAGGTGGAAATTAGGGGAAGCAACTTCAGGTCTAAATTGCGATGCAATCGCATTACGGCTGTCAATCCAATTGGCACCACTTTGCTGAGCCTGTAATTATTCTACCCTCCGTGATAAAGTGGACCAAGGTGACTATTGTTAGTGTATGCAAAGCGGTGTTAGATACGTAGAAAACGGCTATCAAACAGGTTGTTACCTCATAATATGATCGCTGCAGTGAACAGTTCGGCGATTGGTTACTCTGTTGCCCGCATTGATTTGTTCACCGTTCACACAACCACTGAGAACACACAGAGTGCCTGGCGGCTCGGTACACCTGGTTGATATAATTCTACGATACTAACTGTCAAACAAGCTCGGATAAGCAGAATATCATTCAAAGGCGCCGATCTACAAACGCCACCCGAGTGGTGCGAGTGTGAGCGTGTGTTCACGTCTGACAATTCAAGGACGTCCAGGTGGATACTGATAGTGTGACAGAAGGCATATTTGATTTGCATTTCGGATAGAGTCGAAATTCTACCTAGGTTACGCATATTGGAAAAACGTTCGGATGTACTACCAACCACTATGCATTTATTGTGAGTGGAATAGGAAAGTCTCATCTAGATGTGGAACAACTGTCCCATCTGGCGTGGCCAATTCAAGAGACCGGCCAAAAGTCACTGAAACATACTTGAATGCGGTCCCTCTAAAAGAGAAAAGCTGCATAACCAGACCGATCTAAACCGAATTTCAGAAAGCAGAACCACAATGAACACGTACCTGCGTTCCAGTTTGCAACGCGTCTTGATGGAATTGATGAAACTGACAGTTTATTTGAAGTTATTTTGCGTAGAACCTTCGTCGAATGTTAAACCAACCAACCCGTGCGTCCGTGTTATCAAATGATATTTATGTTTCCGCTACAATACCCACATTTACTAAACGGTTGAAAATGCGTGGTGCACCACATCTCATTGAGACAGGACGTGCGATTGAAAAGAAACCAAAAAAAGAGAACAGAAAATGAGGGTAGAAGATTAAGCAAAGGGTCTGAGAACGTAGTTAAAGTTGTCGTGCATAATAGGTGTACGTGGTACTCGGAAAAGTTGCTTCATGAAGCATTTCGCCTTTGTTAGAGTTGATTAGGTTGATATAGGGGATTGGCCAAATCACCCTCAGGTTGGACTCCTATAGTTTTAGCGTTTCCATCAATCACACCCACTGATCACGTTGTGCGGCTGACATATTTGATTTAAGGTCGACTTACTGTGATAACAACGGAAAAAGATGGTACCACAAATTAATCACTTGTATCGAACCAAGATAGTGGGAAATGTTCTGGGTGTGATCAGGCCGTCTGCGTAGAGGCTACCAAGGTTCAAAGTTGTTTGCAACTGCAAATATGGAGGATATAACAGGCTACTATCTCTCTTTGACATGGCATAAGTCTAATGTATATATGATGTCTGCCAAAAACATGGAGTAGATTGAGTCGCTTCACCGTTTCGCTGCTTTACTCTCAGCAAATCAGGATTAGGAAAACGACTCAAGTGGCAAAATGAGTGATCTTAAAAGGCAGTGGACTGCACTACTTAGGGGGCCGAATATGAGCCCGAGGGCGAGAAAGTTGAGCAGCCTGAAAAGCATAAAGTTTCGCGATCAGTAGAAGACAAAAAAGAGTTGTTTTTCGTGGTCCAGAACACATAGGATGGAGTTCAGATACACCCTCCAGAGGAAAACTCTGGTTTTCTCAACTTCTTGTTTCTATACTGGTCTTACTATCACTGAGCAAAGTGTCTACTTAAATCCATAAGTGGCGCATGAATAAGAGACAATTGGTATCCATCATTGGATGCCTGGGGGGGGCAACTTAACTCCTTGCCTACACCGATGGGCAAGAGGAGTCAACCTATGGACATAGGAAATTTGGCTTGATTGGATATGGGCTAAGCTGACCATCCAAAGAGCAGTGAATTCGGGAGGATTTTCCAGCTAATTAGAGGGTGTTCCTGTGTAAGATCGCAATCCATAACTCGAAGCGCTCGATTAGCGTTTACAATGAGTGAGATTCTCTTGTTTTTCCGTGGATGATCAGGTTGGGTGGCTGTGATGAGTTATGGTCAGTCTTTGTGACCTGTCCTGTGGAATGTCCTCTTCTCGGAGGACCTCCCTGGAAAAGATTACTGTTTCCCAAACGCTGTTTGTATAAAATTCCATCAACCATGCCAATAACTCCTCAACTGAACGAGCATTTTTGTTGGATTGACATGGCGGGGGATCTCTATGAAAATGGGAAACAGAATGAAAAGAGACACGATATGTCTCGCGTGTAACGCTAAGTTGTGCACCGGTATCAAAGAAACATAAACACGCAAGACTAATAGATAATAGCAAAGTTGTTTTTTTCCACAGAGAATGAGTTGTACTCACCGAAAGTAATACGTTTGTAGGCAATACCGATGGTACGTAAACCTTCACCAGCCATTGGTTCAATTACGGAAGCTGTGAGGTTTTCTTGATCTTGTTGATTGAAAGGGATCGGATTACCATGCGCATCCAAAATCCATGAGCAGCTAGAAACAAAGAAGCGAAGAATTTATGTTTGACCAACTGATCGACCCTTTACGTTGAAAAAAACGAGACGGTTCGCTCTTTCATCTGTTAACGACTTGACCCTTCAAGCACTGCGGTCTTCAAGCCTTACTAAAGAACATATGTGACAATAGTAATTGGTGAGACGCTCCTATGAAGGTGAAGCGGCGAAAAACGGAATAGAAAAACTGAATATATTGTCAAAATCACAAGAGCTCATGTTTGTTTTTCTGAACAATGCTCCAGTTTGAAAAAAACATGTACGTGGTGTCGACACAAAGATTTGGTGAAGTTGCTAGTGGACGCGTCATCAACACTGCTAGACTTTTATTCGAAGGCCTATTTCTGATCCGCGCATAACCAAGAGCAACCTGCGGCACAACGGGGGATTTATTTCTTAGACCTCTACCCATCAACTCAGCTCGTGGACGGGGATACGTTCGGTCAAGTTTAGCTTTCGGCAATAAAACATTCCAGCTGTTGCAGCTTTGTTCATCGAGAACGGAAAATCCTCGCACGGAATGCGACTGTCTGACCAGGTCGCTGAAAGTGAATCGTTGTACTAATGTGATAAACAGAGAGTGAGACAAGTTTGATGTGGGAGCGCCATTGGTTGATGACCGACGGCGCGTCTCATCTTGGGTCTCCATCCGAAGAGGAGTGTGAGATGGGTTTTCATACTATGCTACCCAGTCATTTGAACCCTAGAAATGGCTGGATGAAGAAAAAGTCCTGCGAAATGCACAATTCCAAGACATCGGAAGCAAGTGAACCAACCAGTACATAACCAGCTCTTCCAAAATGGCAGTTTTTTGTTCGAAAACCATCGGACATACCTCAGCCTCGTTGAGACAATACTCCGGAGCAATGCTTAAGAGACACCCAAACTCGAACAGTGAAACTTCGACCATCTATACGCACATGGAACAAGTTCACTGTGTAAAGTTTTCGTAAACCTCTTCAGGGAGCTATAGCCGATTGGGGGCCAGTCCTTTGACTAGATGATAACGGCCGTCACCCACGGTCCAGTGTGCGATCTCGCGGGTATGTTCTCTTTCCGAGAAGATTATTCTAATTACTATTCTTTAGAAAGATGTCATTTTCACTCACGTACAAGAATGTGAATAGGCGAAGCTTTACAGTACCTGACAGTTCTGAGTCCCAACTTTCTACAAGAGAGAAACTGCTATTGGACTTCGTTTTGCGTGATCCAAAGCGCCTTTTCACCTAAGTTGTGGTTACGAAAATTCAAACACATTTGGATGTGCCCTCGTTCACTCCAGGTTCCCAAGCCGGATTACCCCAACAAGCCTGAGCAATAAGCCAGTTTAACCCTCTGGAACTTACGCAACTTAAACTTGAACGAGGACATAGTGGTGACCATCGAACGAATTATGATTAACGAGCATCAGAGATAGGCAAACCACTCCCGAACTCCACACCAAATCATATTAGTTCAGCCGTCAATAAGGACTGACCGAAACATTAATAAGTGAATGAGAAAAACCTCCGCTCTTTCGAGGTGAGTTATCTTGATGTTTGTTACTCTCGATGATGCGTGCACAATAATAGCCTGTAGTAGCCAGCATGTCTGGTACGTGGACAGAGACATTGCAATAACGATGACGACGATGACGACTGGCTTTCCTGTGTCAGAGATGCTAATGAAGAAAATGGTCACAAGAATCCGGAATCAGATGCTTATCCAGTCGAGTCGGACGGGGTAACAACAAGCTAAGGATAGGCACACGCACACATCCGTCCGGTAGAGGAACAACTGATTGTAGTGATATTTTCGGTCCGGTCATGTTCCAAGGGATTTATAAGGGGGCATTTCCGACATTCTAATTGCGTTGAGCGGTGGTGGTAGTGATGGTGGCCATCATCTCTGTCCTAATGGTGGTTGACGTTGGATCGGAAAAATTCCTGGTCGCCAGGATACACGCACCAGAATGAAGAAGTGGAGGATGGGATGGGATGGGGTAAACTTCGCAGACAAGCAGTGTGGACACAGCACGCACAGTTCCGGCTTCGCTAGGTAACCAGCGCCTAACGGATGTGGATACAAAAACGTCTGCGCGTGATAGTTTATCTGGTCTCTGGCCGCGGTTGATCAATAATGAATGTTTGATTGTTGGTTTCTTTCACGTTGGTGAAGCCCCACATAGTGTATCACAGCTCCAGATAATTTAGGACAGGTATGTTCAAACCTTTTTTTTAATTTCCGAGTCCGGTTATCATTTGGACAGCACTTCGCGAGGCGAATGAACAGTACAGCCAAGTTATACAAGCCATGCAATAGCGAACCATTCCTCAGAGTGACTGTTTTGTGTCGGTCACGTTAACCATCCTTTACAACCCTGAATCTACTGAATTCCCATCTGATTCAGCGACCGCTTTACATTGGTCCCGTAAATAGTGACTTTGAAATTGTTTCACTGTATGAAAAATGGTATTACACTTGCGAATTTGCGTACAAGCGGTAAAAAAAGGTCACCCATATAGAAAGAAATAAAAGCGTTCAACTGTAGCTCCCTTCCGGTGCCTAGCTGTCATGTCACCCGAAGGAAGCACGAGGGCTGGGATACTGTCAGGTTGCCCAAGCCTAGACAGAGAAAGTCGAGAGGCAGAGGTTGGGTTCGAACCACGGGCCTTCCGATCAGTAAATTCGCGCCATCTCGCCATCAGTAAATCTCGTCATAAGCAGTGGGGTGGATCAATTCCACATAGCAGCTTTATGGACTCGTGAGATTCAATCAGGGTGGGATGAAATGGACAAAGAGAGGAACACCACGGGCATCCGATCAGTAAATTCGCGCCATCTCGCCATCAGTAAATCTCGTCATAAGCAGTGGGGTGGATCAATTCCACATAGCAGCTTTATGGACTCGTGAGATTCAATCAGGGTGGGATGAAATGGACGAAGAGAGGAACGATCCCTTAGAAAAAACGCTTCAATCTGGCGGCAGTGGAAGGCGGTGAGTTGGGTGAAGATCACCACAGAGACGACTAGAATTGTCTACCATTTGTGAATTTGCGTTTCGTGCAAAAGTTTTTGTGAGAAGACTTATAATTAGAAATGAAGCGGTTCGAATCTGATTAATTCATTGTGATGATTCCATCATGCTCTCCCGGATTCCTTAGTTAAGCTAGCAAGTCACTGCCTTTTGATGGTGCGTAGATTGTGGAGCTGAAATTAAGATTTCATCCCACCGAAAAAAACTAATAGGTACTGTTACATTCTAATGAAGAATAATCAACCGTGTATATATTACAAATCCCTCGGGAAATTCGAACGCACAACCTCCTAACTATTAACAGAACACTATGGCATCCAACTGTGAGACGCTGATTAGTGGGGTGAGCGACAGGACAAAGTACCACACTACTCTTCAGGTATGCAGTTCATGCCATGTGATCTGGTTGGCTCGACTGATGAGTCTCATGTTCTTCGGAGTTTTTCTGATAGCAAGAACGACATTTCAAGTGCCATAGACGTTCCAAAACTCAAACATCCAGTACGGGGGACCTGGCTGATCGACATCTCCACTCATGCTGTGGACGAGGTTTTTATTCTGTTAGAACAGACTATAGGTGCGTAAACTCATTTGATTGTCACGTGAGTCCCTTGGTTCTGAACACATGATAAACAGACAGCCACAATTAATGCTGAAGTCACGCGCCCAATTGGTTGACCTAAGTAACCTGTAAGCTAATCGTCCGCTAATATGTTATCTTTGACGTCAATTTCACGCTTAGCGTAGATTTTTAAAAGACATATTTGACGTTTTATTCGACAGCTCCTGTGTTTAGTCAAAGACTGAAGAAAACATTTAGGTTCTGAGATTTAGCAGCAGTAGTGGATCGGACGAACCGACTTCGGCACAGATCTGACCAGCGACATACAGTTCCCGTTTTAGAAAGTGGACTTAGTCATCAAAGAATATAGTTCGGTTTGATGAGTCGATCATCAACAATTGTGGGCCTTTGCACTTGTAATTAAGGTAAGAGCTCTCTCCGGAGAGCAGCGGCGAGATTAGTCCGAAAAATAGCTCCAGAGGGTGTAAAATTCTGGCACAACGTTCGTCGTTGTAGTTTAAACGGCGTCCTGGAAACCAACTTTTCATCGCTAAGGTTTTCGGGAAGATGCGACATAATGCCAAGCGTATCAACGCAGAGTCTGATAAGACCCACAGAAGGAGGTCACTATGATGAAGTGGAGGCAGACTCAAGGCACACTAAGCCAGTGGTACGAAAAAGTGCAAACGGGGTTGCAACTAGGTTGGTCAAAATAACATGTGACGGAAAGAGGATAATGGTCCACTTGGTCCAAACTTTACGGTAAAAGAAGCTTTTGTGTCAAAAGCGAAACGTTGCCCAGCAATAAATCTACCGATTGTCACCAAACTTTTTCGAAAACGATGACTACCCAGTCGGTTTCAAGTATTTTTCACGTAAAAGAAAACCTGTTTTATATTAGTGGTAGGCGAGTAGCAGGTTGTTATAAAATGCTGCCCCTACGGGCCTGACCACTAAAAATGCTGATATTTCACCAGTATCGATATATTTGGAGCACAGGATTCCGTAACTAGAAAACCAGTGGGATTCAAAACACCTGAGTGACCCAAGAGTACGGTTGCGCGCATCACAAGTTGCTAGTGTCTGTTGCTTAATCACGGTGTGCTTCGTGTGAGGGAAGGAGGTCAAACGCATTGCTAATCAGCTTGAAAGTGGAACAACGGTAATGCATATATGGCTTCAAGTGAGAGGGGTACAGTAACGCGTGAGACGTGATAGCTAAGTAATGTTTCCAACACTCAACTGGAGCAAAACCGTGCATTCATTGACCTGGCTACGGACAGTAAAGTTAGTGGCATCCAGGTTAGCACAAACGAACAGGAGTTCAAACAAACGGGTTTACTTATTGTTTACCAAACGCCGAAATTGTGCTTGTAGCAGGTATCAAGAATGCAATCAAAGGAAGTATGTTTGTTAGTCATATGGACCGCTTCGCCGTTTGTTACGCTGTCGAGGGATTGACGACCAATTGGAGGAAGCAGTGTTCTCGGGGACCACACAGGAACACCACCAACGATTAATGAGGCTATTAAGTTTGTCAGGGTTATCCGATTGTACACTAAATTAGTGAGTTTGCGTTTAGTAAAAACGCCTACGAAACCCCACAGAAGACGTATCTCTCTTCATGAGTGTTCCTTATAAAGGACAGACGCCCTGCAACTGAAAACTCCACAGTGCATCATGAATCATCGTGGTGTCCTAAACAGAGGTCAAAAGCTGTGAAACGATAGCCTGAGCTCCAATGATTTCACAGACCTCCAACCTGTGAGTTCCCATTATTTGGTTATTATGACACACCCAAACGGATTTGCAGATTAATGGCTGATAAGTACAACTGAGCAACAAATAATCATTTGGACCGGTTTGCCCCTAGCCCTGCATTTATCCCCAAATGACGTTCATGTAACGAAACGGACTTCTTATTGTTGCAAGGGGCACGCTTGTTGGACAGGGTAGATATAAACAATTGGGTGCTGCTTCCCCATCAGCGGAATGCTTCCTACCACCACCACCACCACCACCACCACTAGTACTGGAGTCTCTAATGCGATGTGTAAACACCAATGGGTTTACAACAGTAATGAGATGGGGCGAAACACGGTGATAATGGGATCGCAAGTGTATCCCCACGTTCGTACGCTAACGTCGGAAAACATCAGCAAAAATCCTTCAACAAATAACCCGATTATGCTACAACGCGGTGGTGGTGGTGGGGAAGTAATCGAACCGTTCTTGTTAGAATTGATGAGACCAACGTAAGTGGATCGGTCATTTGGGGTTTTGGCTACTGGCCTCAGAACAACGCGTATTTCGTCTGTTTCGATGTCATACGGAGTACCCGTAAACGGGCAGCGACCAATGCTTAAATGAGATCGGATGCCTATCAAGTCTGATCGGGATCGTACTCTAATTAGGAGACACGTGTCCGACTCTCGAAAAGCGCAGCCGAATGAGAAAATTTTCCGTCATTAGTGGTCGCAAGGTGAGGAAAGAGTAGTAGATAATAGTAACATTTGGTTGCCTAGGTGGACATCTTACTCACGAGTAGCCAGTTGTCCCGAATCATCGGCACAACCGAGGGTTTTTATGCCAAGTAAACTCGCCTATCTCAGAGTGAACTGAAGTGGACACCGTCATTTCGTAATTCTGGTCACTGCAGGTTTATCATTGATCAGTCTGTATCGCACAGAGACGACATGTTGCCAGGCGCGCAACAATTAGTTTCCTCATCGAGTATTAGAGGAGCGAGATGGCCCAAATGGTTAGAGCGCGAATTTACTGACCGGAAGGTCCGTGGTTCGAACCCGACCTCTGCCTCTCAACTTCCTCTGTCCAGACTTAGGCAACCTGGCAGTAGCCCAGCCCTCGTGCAACCTTCGGGCGGCAAGACAGTTAGGCACCCGAAGGGTGCTACAGCTGAACGTTTCTTTTTTCGTTTCGAGTTTAAGAGTTGTGGCTTATGCAACCCGGTCCCATCAACAACACAGCCTGATCACAGATATTTCTGTTTCACCCTATTACAGAACTGCAAAGGATACTTTCACTTTCAGGTGTTGGGTTTCCAAGCGAAAACTAGTGTCTGGTTTTCGTTTCCAGTCAGTGGAATTTATGAGATGTTCAACAACACAATGCGTAATTGGTCTCATTGATTAGGGACTCTGAATCCCGAGCTGTGGATGATCACTCCATATCAGTGACTGGAAGGCGGACAACGGAGGTTTTGCCGGAGCGGCACAGCAAAGTTGGACAGGAGGGAAGTGGTCAATAAGTATACATGTTCCGGCTACCGATATTCCGAATAGAATTTTCATGCATACACCACGCCGGCAAATGCTGTTACATGATCAACAGTTAATTTAATCAGTGGATCTGAGGATAACCACTCACAGGTGCACGTAAACATTTAGGGATGGACTAAAGAAGTCAGATAGTTACCAAAGTGCAGTTTGCATTTTAGCATGCACCGGCTGTGAGGGTTGGTTTCTTGAGTAAACTTGAGTGTGAGCTCCGCTTTTCCGTGGTACGATTTTTATGGTGCCACAGGAGTGAAACCTAGTCTGTAACAGCTCAAAGCAATGTGTGGAAAAAACAAGGCATGCTCTGTCGAAGAGTCAAAACCGTTCATGCGATTATTGTAAGGGCGAATTGGCTTGCTGCCACAGGTGTCTCGTCAGCTCCTATAAATACGCCCTGTTTTTCCGTTATCTTGATGAGTTCGGTGAACAGTACACAACTACTTCTTACTTTTGAACGCCTAAAAATTGAAATTCATTTGCGGACACTCGTGATCGGAAAACAAGGAAGATGAAGGTAGAAGTGTTCTCAATAAAAACGGCGAAGTTTGAAAAAGCATAACCAGGATTAGTTCGTAGAATGACGCACGTGAAGTCTATACGGCACGGTAGAGTGTCAACCCCCGTTCAATATGCCTTTCTAACGACTTGGCGGCCGACAAGGAGCTGCTGGAACAAACTCCACATCTACGATGTTAAAGATTCCAGTCTTCTTCTGAGTAACAGACTAAAATTCATAACCTGGCATCATCCCACAAATCCACGCATTTCATAAGCCTGTATGTTTTGAATTTGAAGTTAGTTCGAGTCTAACATGACCATAGCTGCAAGAAAGGGGTAACCTCACCAGTAAAACGAAGGTATGAATTTCCAGATGTCGGTTCACGATAGTGGTACACCAGCCATAATGGTGACTGGTGGATTACTCTACTGGTTCATGAAAAAACTGAGTGTCCTTGTTATGTGATACCCGAAAATGTACATCTGTTTTGAGGCCCTTGTGTTTAAACCTTACCGCCCACACAAGGTGTCGTACTTGAAATAGCTCATTACTTTTTCAGCGCTCGTCTATCGAGAACATGGGAATACCGAATGACTTCGCGAAGTTTTCAACCTTGAAAATCGAAATCGAATGAATCTGGTGCATAGACGAGGATCAAACGGCTTGTCTCACTAAGAGCTTCGAAAAAAGATATGTATCGGTGGCTGACAGAATTTTGGAACTCCGTATGGAATTTGTAGTCGGGTCTTTAATTTGAATCCTTCTCCCACCAAGCAGCCCCTGTCTAGATTTGGGCAATCTGGCGGTATTTCGGACTTCATGCGTTGCGACGCAACAAATCATACGTTTGGGAGGAAGAATAAGGGAATATAAAAGAAACTTCGGAAGCTTCTACCGGAAACAGATCGGTCGAAAACGGTAAGCCTCAGAAAATTCAATGATATTATCAAGCTTCCAGGACGGTATGACATTGCGGCATTTCTGTACATCTCATCGGGCTGCGCGGAAGTCCAGCAACAACGGTCTCTTCAGAAGTAATCTCCTGAAGGGTGAACACTTTCGAGTAAACGGTTTCTACTCGGAGGAAAGCCATCGAAACCTGCACAGTCAATAAATTCACTGAACAACACATGTTTGGTAGCAAAGTATAGATAAATTGCCTTTACGATCGATGAACCAATGGCTTGGGTGCGGTCAAACTTCTTGCTGAGGACCGCCCAAGCCAGTGAGACCTATAACAGGTAAATGGTAACCGATCTCGCATGCTCCAGCTGGGGTTTTTATTCGAAAGCCAGAGAAAGGAAGCAAGTTTACACGTCGTCAATTCCAAAGTGCCGTTCTTCAAATGAAATGCAGCTAGAAATATCGTTTGACCATCCAAAAACAACAGATTGATAACGTACCATTTTACAACCATTTCCGAGGCACCTTTGTTGAACAGCAAGTATGTCAAGGGATTGTCACGCTCCTTGACCACCGTACTCATTGACTTGCGAACTGAGTTAAAGGTGTACACTTTGTACAGCTTTTCTTCCGGCCATTGTTCACGCAACTCTTCGTAGCTTCGGCCCAAGCTTTGGACGAATCCGAGTAAGGCACACTCTGTCTTGTTGCCCACCTGTTTCGGAAAGGCACCAGCAGTGTCCGGAGGCTGACAGGATAGGAAAAACGAGAGTTACAAGTAGCAATATTAGGAGAGTACGGAGCACTGCAAAGTATTATGGAGGACTATCAAAACCTGGAGATGAACAGCTAGAGAGCAAACGGCGGGGTGAATAACAGGATAATCCCTTAATTGAGATAGTGTTGCAACCTTGTGAGCAGTAGTATGAAAATTAGTCGCCATTCGAAAGCAATCCTGAATGGATTAGATATCTGGAAATCCTGCAGTCTCTATGCATTTCGTACCAAGAAGATGATCGTAGTGCAACATACTTCTGACAAAAAATCCGTTGGAGAGAGGGAACCTGAATTATAGCAGATAAGTTTTGTCTTCGACAGCCTCATACTTGTTTTTGTCTAGTTCGAAGTCAGAGATTCACCGCTTCGAAGTGGTTGAAGCCCATGAGCTATTCTATTGCTCGTGTCCAAAGTGCACATTTTTTCAAGCTAAGGGTACACGCGGTTGAAAGGCGTACAAATCGTAAAACATTTCCGAAGGTAATGGCCGTATTCGAACATGGAGAGCACAGAGTGGCGGTAACCATCCACAAAGTGCAGCCAAAAACAAAGGCGCACGTTCAAAGGAGGGCCCAGGGAAAGTTTGGTGAACTTAACGGTACGATACCATGTCAGTGAAACACGGATGAAAGAATAAATTATAATTTAGATATTACACGGTAGTAGACATAAAAAGTGGGAATAGCTGAGCTTTAAACGAATAACAGTGATCGGTATAAGGATGACTGAGATTGAAAGTGATTGAAAGTGTTCGATGCGAACATTGAGGATGTCGCTGCACATATGATTGGCAATGTGCACAATGCCGATATTCAGCATCACGCGGTACCGAGGCGATCTGTCAACCGATCACAAACAGCGCCCAAACGAGCAGAACTAGTCAGCAGTCGTGGGTGTGCACGCGCGGACGAATTGCGTCTGAAAGCTGGTGCAGCGCACCGCCGCCAGATTGGAAATTTGTAGCACGATAAAACAGCAGGCAGCAAAAAGTGGTCGATAATCTTTACCTACTGTGGTACTGACTGTTCTCGTTCCAAAAACGCGATTTTACATTCGTTGACTGAAAACTGTGTTGGTGGGCTTGCACAGTTTACTGAGGCTCCAGATGGCCACAGGTCGAAAGTGTAGTGGTGGTGGGATGTGGCAGTGCGAAGTCCACTTAACAAAAATCGATACTTCAATCGGTGAATCGTGGAACAGGCAACACAAACAGTCCAAAAACAAACAAACCGATCCAGAAGGGATCCAAAGAACACTGATTTGTTACCACCGTTTCTCTAGAACCCTACAACCCAGCATTACCTGACCCATCACATTAATTAGGGATTTGATTGTAGTAAGCAGTAAACCTTGGACTTCACAAAGTGACTCAGTAAGACACATAAAATCGATCCCACCTATGACTACGTGCCCGAGTGCAGAGGAGAGAAAAAGGTGTGGTGAATTATACTCTGTTGTGAATGGATCATAGATCTGCGGGTTGTTTTTTTGCTTCATAGGTTTCTGATCCCCTGCCAAGACGACAGGCGGTTGATGGCCACAAGATTACAGGCCCAGCTCCATACAAGAGAAACCTTCTCATGAACTAAAAAGAGGTCCTCCGCAATTGAGAAGCAGTCCTTGTTTCGTCAGTCAACAAACTAATCCGTGTTCAAAATGTATTCTCACAAGAACTAGGATATTAAACTTTACAACAAACTGAGCCTTTCACAGTATTCGTGCGGTGTACGCGCATGCTCGCTGGGCCGCTGCACAACCTTCGGACTACAAACGAATTCGAACTTCGGTAAACACTACAACCCGCGCCGCCCCCCGAAGTCTTGATGCCACCTTGGTTTAGTGACGAATCAGAAGAGGACTCAGCAAAAGGAAACGTTGTGAAAGAGTTGGTACTTGTTTCCAGTAAGCCCGCTGTTGCGCCGAATAGAGCGCACGGAGAAAACCGTACGTTTCCCCATCAACGAGATCACACTGATTTTAGAGGTCTGTGCTACAGCAGAGTGCGCGTCTCCAATATGAACTTTTATATCATCATCCCTATGGTGGAAACTAAATCAGGCAAATTTGATTCGAACGACCTTTGGGTAGACAACACTGGTCGATAAGTAGCCAATGTAACCAAAAACAAGAATAGACCATAAAAATTTACATAACGCACACAGAGCTAGATATGAATGAAGGTGTAGACCACATTTATTGGTTTTGTTTCCGTAAACATCGGTGGAAGACAAACATAATGTGTTTTTCGGCTATCGACTAAACTGGACAGTCAGAAGCATACAAGTCCATCAAAGATGTGGTCGTGAAGACTGAATCTAACGTGTGCGTTCGCTCGGTATGATACACAGGAAAACGTTCAGTGTTAAAGGGAAATCGTTGCTGAGCAACGGATTATCTACTGAAAGATCTAGTGTAGCAAAAGATACACAGTAACTATTAGATTAAAAGCACATTTATGAACAGGCGAGACTGACTGTCTTGACGGTAGTCTTATCACGGTTGTGCCAATCAGGAAAACTAGACGCGGATTGGAGCATCATTTTCGATGTAGAAGCAACAAACCATAAGAATTCATACCCCTATCCTCAAGCACGATGGTCTAATTGATCATATGCTGAGACAAAGTTCACAGCGGTTCGATGGGAAACATGGCAGGTCATACTGACTTTCCAATGTACTTATTTCACGTCGTGCGCTACCGCTATTCTGCATGGGACTTAATAGAGACCGTCTTTAGCCCATGAAAACGTTTATTCGCGAAAAATTTACTCAATTTCTCGACATGAAGCACCGTCAACGCTTGAGTCAACCATACAAAAACGTTTGCTTATGGTCGATCTCGAAAACTCAAAGGTAACAGAATACAAAAAGACTGATCCGTATTAGCCTGGTATGAACATACGAATAGTTAGCCTGTACACGATTTCTGTCTGCTAGAGTTACGCGCGGCAGAACGCTTGTGCCAGACACAGTGAGCGGACATGAAAGCAGTTTTTAATTCGTCTTTCCGTAGAAAAAGACGTACGTCAAAAAGGTATGCATCCCGTTTGCTACATTCAAGCTCTTCGACACTGACAACATTTTGTGCGCGAGTAAAAAGTTACGCCTATCAAAAGACGAAGTGATGACTGGCAGGTGTAAGAAAGCAATCACATTCGTCCCGAATGCAGAGGCGAAGAACAGCAGGGGATGAGAAATTCCGACTGATGTAATGACGGAAATGTGAAATTGTGTGTGCACGGCTTAATTTTCGATGTGAACTTCAGGAGTTTCGTTTCTGCACTCACATGATTAGCACAAATTCATAGCTGTCCAGCTTCGTTACAGTACCCACTAATGATATGGATAGGCTTCACTAAGAATAAGACGGCAGGAAAAAATGGTGTGAGTGTTTGAGAACGGTTGCCCATGGTAACCAAAACATAGGGAAACCTACCCACCGTATACCCTACAACCGTCCTAGCCCAATCGTTTTTTCTTCAAGCAAACGACACGGCGCTCGACAAAAAAACTGTAGATATATGAACGGGAGATATTGGTACAGTTGACTGCTGAGCTATGAGGAATGTGGACCGATCATCAACGGAAGTGAGAAGATCGAAACTGATCTCCTCTAACGGAGAACATAAGTGACTGTGCAGAAAATGGTGATTTTTTTGGCTGATACAGTCTAAACGGCAGACAGTTTTCGGCTGAAATGATGGATCGAATTTTTGTCGGTCACTCGTACACAAGCGATCAGACTGAGTCTATTTAGGATAAGATAAATGAGGTCAACTGGCCCGTAATGACTTTCCTTGGCATATGACAGTATTTATAAGGTTTCTGAGAACTCATATGAATCTCCCATACACACTAACGAATCAGTAGATTTTGTCGAGTCTGTTTCCGTTTTTTCTCGCACATCATAGCCTATCCACTACAGCAGTTTTAGCGTTCACAGATGCACAACAGTTTACTTCTAGGGATTTCGTTCTTACCAACTAGTTTTGTATTCCTTGAAATAAAGTTCTATGCTGGAATGTCCACCGCACCAGCTGTAGCTGGGCGTGTAATTTTTGCCGACATGATGAAATCCGAACATGGCCCCCCGAAAGGATTGTTCGATGTGCTGGTGCAAGCTTGCGACGTCTCACGCAAAGATTTCAATCGGTCTTTCTTACCACGATCACCAGGGACTGTGAGAGTAGGCTATTATCTCAGCCGTTGAAAGTGCCTGGAGTCGAGTGCAGTTTTATACAGTGATTTCGCTTCAGTGCTTCAGACAGAAGCTCTTGAAACCAGTTTATTCAATTGCACGGCATCCAGGCGTCCTACGACCAAGTTGAAGTGTACTTTTCTCCCATATTAACTTGACACTGAACAATCTGAGCTTCATCAAGCTCCCAGGTGAAACGATAGATACCAGCCATAAGTAAACACATATCCGGGTGAGGATGAGGTGAGATAGAAGACTATTCACCAACACTACTCCGTGTGAGAAAACAAGGCACATATATGGTGAACCTGAACCTACAAATCCCCCGATTGGTTCATTGAGCGAGTCCCTGCATGGCGGCAACAGCCGAGGAAAACTTGTCCCAGCTGCTTCCTTTCAACTTTGGGATTAAACGGGGAGAATGACAGCCACTCTATGGTTGACCGCTTGTGCTGGAATCCGTTGGGATTACGCAGTAATCCATTGCACACATAGTTCCCATCATTCCGGAAGCAAAGTCTGGGACAAATCTGTTCGACTAGACCATCTTACGGTACTTTCCATTCGACATACTTCTAAATGACTACTCATTGGTAGTGAGAGCAGTTCAGTTGGATGCGCCTGTTATTCAGAAATGCCCAGAGGACTAGGCGGAAATTAAGAAAAACTCATCAATCGATATTAACTGTTCAGTGTCCGCGTGTACTCACACATGGTTCGGTGGAATTGATTGAGCCAAATCATTGAGCAAAAACATGCGGTCAGTTTGGAGGCAAGTGGAATGAATGACTTCAAGGAACTGAATGCAGCACACAAAACACAACGTGCGCCATCCGATAGGAATCCGAATTTGGGCATCGTCTTGCAACCACTGGACAACCTTCTATCCGAACTCATTACGCACGCATAAACAAGCACGGGTTCATAAAGGAAACTACTCACGACGTTGATGAAAACTCTAGGATAGCCCACGACCGGTTTCGCCCTTCTTGGGGCTCATCAGATAGGCGCAGTCTCCGAGTTTCCGTCAACCTTATGTTCTACTTGAACTCAAATTGGACTGATTTCGACAAATACACTCACGCAGGTTTCACTTATAAAAAATATACTGCGATATCTCGAATATCGTGCCAAGTGAAACACGAGGCGGTGCAGCACATTCAGTTGTGGAATATCATGAACGAGAGATTCACTTGAGTCTCTCATGAAAACCAAATTAAATGAGTGTATTCTCGAAAAACAGAGGTCCAGTCACGGCAACGACCAGCGCCTTTCAAGACACAGGGGCAATGGAAAAACAAATATATCTGTTTTGTGAGCGGAGATGAGGTTTTGTTTCTAAAAGCTGACATTCATTTTGCTCGGACAAACTCAGAGCCGTGGAAGTAAATTCTTCGAACATCATAAAAACCAAAATTACATTAGCCAAAGCAAAAACTGCTCGGATAAAATGTTCATGGTTCTCGTGGGCTGCAACGACACAAAGTACTGTTTCTGAGACTAACGTTGCAGATTAGGCATCCTACCAACACCCAATCAGGTCCAGTTTTCAGACAGCGCTAGAATTTAGCATTCGTTATTGTGAGAACTAGGTGTGTGACCTAACCGTTCCAAGCCACACCTGTTTGTTTGTGTGAACTTTGAGTAAGAAATGGAATAAGAAATTTTCGTCACAAAAAATGTTACCCCATCCAGTTTCGGAGACGTCTACGGAATACATTCAGAACCAACCCCATCAAGAAGTATCTACTTGGTGTGGAATGTG